CTCCTGTTCTCCCCACGCATAGATACTTTTAAGCTGAACGCACTCGAGAGTCGATAAGAAGCACCCAGGCACATTTGTTAGTTGGTATTGGTATACATCCTCCATCTCTGTTGGATAAAAAATCGCCTGAAAAAACACGAAAAGGCTGAGTTTGCAATTCTAAATGTAGACAAAAGCCTCACACAGAGTTAGTTGAGAGATTTTTTTTTACCAAGATTAGGTGTTTCAGATTAGGGCAACACTCAAGAAAGGCTGGCAAAAACTGCAATGAGTTGCAAGGGAACACGGCTTCTACACGTGCTAAGTTAAGGAACTTGGGAATCAGCCCTATGTTCGAGTAAAGCCCAAGGACCTGCAGAAATATATATATATATATATATATATATATATATATTAAGTGAGAGGTTTTCAATTAGAAAAGTTATACATATACCTTCACTGTTGTTTGGGAGATGATCATATGTCTTGCATTCAATATCCCAGTGAGAAAGCAGCGGACTTCTTTAATATTTGATAAGTTGCCCGGATCAAACATGACATCAAACAAGATATTAAGGTCAACCATGAATAAAGAATCCAGGTTCTTCACCACAAAGCTATCAAAATGATTTTGTCCGAGAGTCATATGCTCTAGACTTGGAGCATCAATCTCAATTGTGTATTTCACCTCTCAATCTGTGACAATATCTTTCGTGCCAGAGCGGAACACGAAACCTCTTCAAGCTCCCAGACCTCACAGTCATGAAACTATCAACCTCACGATCAAAATTAGATTGCATATCCCTAACCAAGGTCAGCTCTTCAAGAACAGGACATCCCGACACGAGTTTCTCAAGACTCGTGGCATCACGAAAGTGAACATATACAAGAGTCATGGATTTAAGACAAGGCATACAAATAAAACCAGGATCCTCAATGCCCGAATACGTGAGCTCTAAGGTGACCAGTGTCCTGCTTGTGTACAAATTCAGAGGCACGAATTCGACACAAGGATAGTATTGGGTGTCAAGATCTCTATACGCAGTACAACTCTCAAGTTCTATATGTTGAGGTCCACGTTGAATCACTGTGCTGATCCGATCCTTGAGCCCCTCTATCTCCACGTTACCGAAGGTGGCTTTAACTTTAACTTTTAGGAAGCGTAAATCAGGGTTAAACTCGAGGAGTCTGTCAAAGAATCTGAGGACCACTTCGTCTTGTCCATAAGGGAAGAAGTCGCAGTTTAAGTCAAGAGCTGGAACACTTAGCCACAGATTCTTCCATCTTGTGGATAAAGCGCTAGTCTTCACCGAGAGTGCAGTGGGAAGGTATGAGAGTATATGAGTTAGCAAAGCATCCGGCAACTCGCTGATCTTATCGCACCGAGGCATCACGAGACCCTAAGAGCATCAACAAACAACTACAACAGCAGCATGTAAAAAGAAGACGTCTTTATCGAATACTAGAACCCTAAAGAGCATAACAATAACCGATCTTTTTAGTATTTATATGTATGAAGCGTTTCAAAAATAAAAGCTTCTTTTAAATAAATAAAAAATAAAAGAAAATTTTATTTTGATGTTTCCATGGTATACCCTCGGAATATTCATGCAAATCAATAAGTATCCTTTGAGAAATATATATTTCCAAAATCAATTATTTGTTAACTATAAAAGCAACGAAAAGGAAAAGTAATAATTTTTCAAGAGAATTCCCAAAAAGCTAATTTTACACTTGCATGATTAAAAACTAAACAAAAATCATTTAAAAATATGGTTAATTCAGTTATTTGATTTTTAATAAGTTTTTATATGATTTGCTCAGTCAATCTTGGCACCCATGTAACGGAAGGACAAAGAAGATCCTCTGTTTTCCACATCTCACCTACATAAGAAGGTTTTAAAAATGAGTGAAAAACAGAAGCTAATACAGTCGATTTCATGTTGTAATGATCTTGTTGACGAATTCATCAAAATGTTTATCCATCCAAGCTTCACCTTCTGAATAAAAAACCTTTGCTCTTTTCCATAGGGTTTGCCATAACAATGGCGTGAATACATGACTTCAACACATCTTCAGCCGTTGAGTCTTTGTGCAAGATCACACTTACATTTCCCTTTCTATGTGCCAATAAGTACTTAAGCTGCAGGAGTTTACATTAGACACGAACCTAGTTTACACGCCAAACGTTCCCAAACATGAAACAGGGAAACATTCTTGTGAGAAGAAGCTCCAGCACCATTTAGGAGTTGCATCCTGCACATAAATTGTCAAACCTGAAATTACTTTGGCAAGTTTGCATGAACTGTGCTAGAAGAATCAAACTCCTCACCGGACAGCTCTATAGTTTTGATATGTTCGGAAGAAAACTAAATACAGTTAATGAAAAGAATTAGAGAAATTCTGATTTGATCTAGGCTTTTAACTTTCATCTGTAAATACATATGAAACACAGTGAAGCAGGAGAGAGAAACAATCACCAAATAGCAACATATTTGAAGACATGCTCATCATAGTCTCTTGGCTTCCTTCCTTTCAATACATAATACCAAAAAAAAAAAAAAAACTAAAAGTTTCATATTTATAGTTTCTAAATCTTTCACAGTGAAGAACTTGTATCAGTATCACCCACCATGGTTTAAGGAACCCAACCAGAACTAAGAAATGTCTACAAAAAGACTTGTAACTTTAAATTTCAACGACAGGAACAGACTCCTGCAATGATACTGATCTCTCATTCATGAGAGCATCAACATAACTCTCACTATGGAAGAACTTGACATGCTGAAGAACGTTTTGTAATTCTATTAACCTTGTCAAAGAATTCTTGATCACAGACATATTGAGGATAATTTGTTAGACTCAGAGTGAGTTTCTTCAGGACAGAAGCGTTTTCAAGAAAAAAAGTGGCTAGTTTCATCTCCAGTTCCTCCCACAAATAGATTCTTTTAAGCTGAACACACTCGAGAGTTGATAATAAGAAGCACTGAGGCACATTTGTGGGTTCAAATTCATCCTCCACCACCATTGAATAATCAACCTCCTGGAAACACACACAAAGGCTGAGTTTTCAGTAACAAACATAGACAAAACCCACAAAGTGTTATTTAAGAGTTTTTTTTACCAGGATTAGGTGTTTCAGATTTGGGCAACATTCAAGAAAGGCCGGCAAAAAGTGCAATAAGTTGCAAGGGAACTTGGCTTCTAAACGTGATACGTTATTAAATTTGGGAATCAGGTCTACTTTCGAGTAAAGCTCAAGGGCCTGCAACACCAATATTATATAATAAGTGAGAGGTTTTTAACTAGACAAAGTCCATGAATTGCTGCTGTGTACCTTGACTGTTTTCTCGGAGATGATCATGTGTCTTACACAGGATAACCCAGAGAGAAAGAAACGGATTTCATTCCTCTTTGAAACGTCCCCCGGATCAAAGAACACACCAAACTTGATATCAAGATCAACCTTGAACAATGCATTAAGGTTCTTTAGCACGATGCTATCATAATAATCTTCTCCAAGAGTCATACGCTCTAGCACTGGAGCATCAATCTCAAGTCTGCATTTCACTCCCGCATCGCACCAACCTATGTTCCTGAGAGAAACACGAAACCTCTTCAGGCTCCCAGACCTCACACGCATAATCTTTTCAACCGAACCCGCAAAATTAGAATCCGTATCACTTGTCAAGGTCAGGTCTTCAAGAACAGGACACCCTGACACGAGTTTCTCCAACGTCACATAATCTCGAAAGTGAACTTCTACAAGAGTCATGGATTTAAGACAAGGCATACAGACAAAACCAGGATACTCAACACCCGAAAACGTGAGCTTCAAGGTAACCAATGTCTTGCTTGTATAGAGGTTCAAAGGCATGTAATCGATAAAAGGATAACTAGTAGAGCTCTCAAAGTCTAGATGTTGAGGTCCACGTTGAATCACTGTACTGATCCGATCCTTGACCCCGTCTATATCCACGCTACCGCACTTCACCTTGACTTTTAGAAGGCGTGAATTAGCAGTGAGGAGTCTGTCAAAGAAGCTGAGGATCACTTGGTCTTCTTCATAAGGGAAGTCACTGAGGATTAAGTCAAGAACTGGAACACTTAGCCAGAGATTCTTCCATCTCTTTGATAAAGCGCTAGTCTTCACAGAGTGTTTAGTGGGAAGGTATGAGAGTATATGAGTAAGCAAAGCATCCGGCAGATCGCTGATCCTATCGCACCGAGGCATCATCAGGAGACAAGACCCTAAGAGCAACAGAGCATATAAAGGATCGGTCGTTATTGAATCCTAGGTTATTTATATATACGATTGAAGCGATTCAAAAATAAAAGCTGTCTTTAATACTTTAAGATTTGTTTTTATATGAGAAACAAAAATATAAGCTGTCTTTGATGCATTAAGATTTGTTTTTATATGAGAAACAAAAAAATGATTAAATTGTTTGTGATTTGAGTGCAAAGAGAAAACTTTCTCTCCCAGGCACTTTTCCCTAGCTCGGTCACTACCCCCCGGTCCATAGACGTGCTCATTCCTTGACCCAGCGGTCCTTCTATTCTGATTGGTGCAGAGAGTCTGTCCCCTTTCTGCGTTTTCAAATTTTTCCCTCTTCGGGAATAATCTGCTGGTCCATAGAAGTAACTGTAGGGCTTTTACCGGGTTCCGCCTGCGACTCCGGTCGACAGGCCCGCCTCCGCCGCCGGTAAGCCTCCTTTCCTCCGGAACAGTATCTCTTGAAGATGTTCTGCGTCAACCAAAACCAAGTTTGCTGGTTTCGAAGACTCTGTTTTCCTCTCTGTTCAGGAATCTGGACCTTTTCTGCTTAAGTTACCGGGGATTCCTGGTGTGTGCAGGTGGCTTGGTTGTTTGTCTTGTGTTTGTTTGGTGTTTCTGTTACCTCTCCATACGTGCAAGTTCTCGGGAGTGCGGAGGAGCCCCAACAACAACTCTTCTTCCCTGACTTAAGGGGATTCCCTTAAGCGGGAGACCCACATCGTTAAGAACCACTTTTGTTACAATGTCTCACCGGAGACTTTCCTCTGCGGAAAAAGGAAAAGGTCTCGATCTTGTTTCTCAACAACCGGCAAGGAATGCTCGCGTTAAAGCGCCCCTCCCTGAAAACGCGGAACTCCTGCGTAAACACTCTCTAACCCTGATTGGTAGAGTAACCAACAAGACAGCTCAGAAAGTGTGGTCGTTAATCCCTTTCTTCTCTGAACACTGGAAGACCGAGTTCAAACCGGTTGGAGCTGACCTGGGGAATGGTTTATTTCAATTCCAGTTCGAATTGGAATCTGATCTGCTTGCTGTCTTAGAACAACGCCCCTATTTCTATGCAAGATGGATGGTGATATTACAGCGATGGGAACCGACTGTGTCTCCCAAATTCTCATCCCTCATACCTTTTTGGATTAAAATCCAGGGTCTTCCTGTTCATCTTTGGACAGAGCCTATCGTCAAAGTCATTGGTGAAAATATTGGGCTGTATGAAAAAGCGGACATCACTCCTGTGTCTGTTAGAATCAGAGTCCATGTTGACGGCCTACTCCCACTTATCACCGAATCTATAGTGGATTTCCCAAATGGGGATGAGGTCCATACAACGCTGGTCTATGAGCGCTTAGATAAACATTGTACTAAATGTATGAAGCTTGACCATGAGCTAAAGGAATGCTTGGTGGCCCGAGCGGAAGCCAAAGCACTACAAGCAAGTCATGATGAGAAGAGTAAAGGAGGAGGTGATGTATCTGCCAAAGAAATGGCCCCTGGAAGAGAGCATTCACACACCTCCTCACGTTTCTCCCAGCGCGAAAACCCTCTTACTCGTGATACTAAGAAGGGAGATCTCTCCCATTTTCAGACCTCGGTCTCTAATTCCAGGAAAAGTTATGACAACCGGAATCTACAGCCTCAACTGGAGTCTCACCACCAGAGAGCTTATAAGACCTCATCAAAATCCTGGCAAGAAAGAGGTGCGCAGCGTCGAACTTCTCAGGCTAGAGACCGTACTCGATCTGATCGTTTTCACAGAGGTTCTTCTACAAATGGTCTCCCCGATGTCCCGCCGGGGAGAAGCTATTATCGTGAAGTCCAGAAGACCGCCCATGGGAACAAGGATACTGAGTCGTGTGTTTCAAGAAACCGCCAGGATCAGAATGCTCGAGGGATTCCTCCTCTGTCTAGACATGATGAGTTTCCTCAAGAAGTGCTTGATGGTGCGCTCTCTAAGGCACGCGATGCTATGATCCAATATACTCTGAGTGCTGATCCCTCGGAAAGACAAGTTCGTCAGGAACGGATGAGACAAGCAGAAGAACGAGGACAGTTGGAAAACACTGCACTCCTAATCGCTCGTGCCGACTCTACCAGAGATTTGGTTGACAAGGAGTATCTCCAGGTCACCCCACCGCGCCCCCTGATGAGCCAAAGATTGGGACCTATCGCACCTATCCAGGAGGCTAACTCAGGGGAAATCCTTGCTGCGACCACGTCTTCTTCCCGAGACAGACTCCACCCTTCACTCCGTTTGGGACCACAGCCTCTATCCCCTCCTCGGTCACCCGAGGACAAGGGAGCAAGTCATTCAGACCGTGTAGAGCGAATTCCTGCTGTGATGAGACTCGGTCCCTCAAGTGACCCCCCAATGAAGGAGCTAGATACAGAGACAACAACGGCAAAGCGCAAACCAGGCCGCCCTCCAGGAAGTGGCAAGGGGAGTATTAAGAAAGGCACCCAAGCTGTAGTACCTCCCAGAAGAAGAACGGCATCAAATAGGCCTTCCCCGCGACGGAAGGGAGCTATTCATGCTGCCACAACCTCTAAAGCTGCATCATCCAAAGCAGCTAAAATGAAAAATGCCAGAGGTCCTATTGTAGGGACTGGTTTGCAGGACAAGGCAGCGACCTCAAACTCGGACAATGACCCAATCATCAACCTAATCCCGAAATCAACTAAACGTAGGGTGGATTTTCGGGATCAGGGCGCACCTGCTCCTTAGCTATGGCTAGCTGGAACTGTCAAGGGTTGGGGAATCCCAAGACAGTTTGTCGTCTCAAGGAAATCGAGAAGAAATTCCGGCCTGATATCTTCTTTCTCATTGAGACAAAAAATCCCAATGAAACCGTTCTCCAAAAATGTGAAACGCTTGGTTATGAAGAACACTTTCTAGTGCCTCCAACTGGACACGGGGCTGGAGGCCTAGCACTGTTATGGAGACAAGAGCTCAATCTTTCTGTGTTATTCTCATCAGCTAATGTAATTGAAGCAAAAATTGAATATGAAGGCAAGATCTTTTTTGCTAGCTTTGTCTATGGCAGTACGGATAGAGCACAACGTAATTTATTGTGGCAGCAGTTGCTCTCTTCTGCGGAACTCAGGAGTGCCCCTTGGTTCCTAACCGGAGACCTCAACGACATACTCCAGGGAGATGAAAAAGTTGGCGGGCCAGATAGAACAGAAGGATCGTACTCTGATTTGAGGACTTTCTTCTCTGAAGGGGACTTGTATGATCTGCATCATTCTGGTGATCCTTTGTCATGGAGAGGCCAGCGAGGCACTCACCTTGTTCGGTGTAGGTTGGACAGAGCAGTCGCTAATAGTGAATGGGCGGAGAACTATCCCACTGCAAGATGTCAATACCTAAATTATGAAGGGTCTGATCATAAACCCCTCCTCTCCTTCCTGGATCCAACAATTTTGAAACGCAAAGGCCTCTTTCGATATGACCGGCGACTCAATACAAATGAGGAAGCCATTAAAATCATTCGTGACTCTTGGTCAAGCGTGGAGGATGGTAATTTCTCTGAGAAACTAGTGTCTACCAGAAGAGCCATCTCAGAATGGAATAAACGCCAGCATCTGAATAGTAGCATCGCTATTGAGCAGCAGAAAAAGGAATTGGAGGATGCACTAACTAGTCCCCTCAATGACACTCAGCTGATCGAGAAAATTTATTCAAAGCTGAACGATGCCTATATTGCGGAAGAGGCGTTCTGGAAGCAAAGGAGCCGCCTTCTGTGGCTTCAGCTAGGCGATAGAAACAGTGGATTTTTTCACTCTGCCACCAAGAATAGACGCCGGGCGAATGCCTTCACAGTTCTCGAAAACACAGATGGTATAAAGGTGTATAAAGAGGCAGACATTGTGAAGCTGGTAGAGAGCTATTTTAAGACTTTGTTCACTGCAACTCCAGGTGACAGCAGAGACACAGTGAACTATGCACTGCAACCTTTAATCACCCAGGAGGATAACGAAAAGTTAATTGCTATCCCGTCAGCCTTGGAAGTTAAGGAGGCTATTTTTGCGATAATGGGGAGAAGGCCCCTGGACCAGACGGCTTCTCAGCGAGCTTTTATCACACACATTGGAATGAGATAGGCTCAGACTTGGTTAATGAGGTCCAGAGCAGTTTTAGAACGGGTATTCTACCGAACGGGATCAACAATACCCACGTATGCCTCATCCCCAAGATCAAATCGCCTCAGCGGGTGTCAGATTACAGACCAATAGCATTGTGCAATGTTCAGTATAAGGTCTACTCGAAAATCCTCCAGAAGAGACTGCATCCCTTGTTGGACAAAATTATTTCGGAAAATCAGTCTGCTTTTGTCCCGGGAAGAGCAATCGGAGATAACGTGCTAATTACTCATGAGGTGCTACACACGCTTAAGACTTCTAAGGCTGAGAAGCGGATTGCTATGGCGGTCAAGACGGACATGTCTAAAGCCTATGACCGGCTGGAATGGAGATTTATTTCTTCGGTTCTGGAGAGACTTGGTTTCCACCAGCATTGGATTGGACTGATAATGCAGTGCATCTCGTCTGTTACATACTCCTTCCTCATCAACGGTTCGCCTAGAGGAATGGTTATACCGAGCCGAGGGATTCGCCAAGGCGACCCCCTCTCACCCTACATATTCATCTTATGTAGCGAAGTGCTCTCGGGTCTTTGTAACAGAGCACAACAGGACGGACGTATCCAAGGGATCAAGGTGGCGAGGGGGAGTCCCCGTATATCCCACCTATTATTTGCTGATGACACGATGTTCTTCTTAAATGCGAACAAGGCGTCTGCCACTGCCCTTAAAGCGATCCTTTCCACTTACGAAGCAGCGTCGGGACAATCCATTAATAGAGAGAAATCCTCTATTACTTTCTCTCGGAAAGCGCCGGGAGAGCTTAAAAAGATAATACATGGGGAGCTACAAATCCAGAAGGAGGGGGGTGTTGGCAAGTATTTGGGTTTGCCGGAACTGTTCGGTAAAAGAAAGAGGGATCTCTTCTCGTCCATTGTGGACCGTATCACACAAAAAGCCAAGGGCTGGTCAAACAGATTCTTGTCATCAGCTGGCAAATTAGTTATGCTGCAGAGTGTGCTCACCCCGATCCCGTCTTACTCAATGACATGTTTTAAGCTCCCTGGCTCGTTATGCAAGCGTATCCAATCTGCACTTACTCGTTTTTTCTGGGATGATAGAGCAGGGAAACGTAAGATGGCATGGATTGCCTGGTCTAAACTTACGCTGTCGAAAGGAGATGGTGGTTTAGGGCTTCGCGATGTCGAAGCGTTCAATGATGCATACCTCGCAAAGATTAGTTGGAGGTTGCTGGAGAATCCTAACGGATTACTGGGCCGAACCCTCCTCACTAAGTACTGCCCAGATGGAAATCTCCTAGAGTGTGAGGCTCCAAGTGCCGCTTCCCACGGATGGCAGAGCATTCTGGTGGGCAGAGACTTGCTGATCAAGAATCTAGGTTGGGTAGTTGGAAATGGTGCTTCGATCAATATATGGGATGATCCTTGGTTGAGTCTTCAAACTCCTAAACGCCCTTGGGGTCCTGCAACGGAAACTTCAACAGCAGTAACTGTTAGTGACCTTCTTGTAGCAGGAACAGGGGAGTGGGACCGTGGAAAAATCCGTCACCTTCTTCCTTTTGATGAGGAGGAGATCCTCTATATTCGGCCGAGCTCTAAGGGAGCACCGGATGTTTTGCGATGGCTGGGAACCTCGACAGGTACGTACACGGTGAAAACAGGTTACTATATAGCAATGGCTGAGACTGTCGAGGTTATTCTTGAAGACGAAGCTACAAATGAATTTGACTGGAGAAAATCGGTGTGGAACCTAAACCTTCCCCCAAAGATTAAAATGTTTACCTGGAAAAGTCTCAAGGGAATCTTGCCGGTAGGGGAACGGCTGGTAGCTCGTCATATCAACGCGGAGGTGAAGTGTAAGCGTTGCGGGAGCTCTGAATCTATTAATCATCTTTTCTTTCATTGTCCATTTGCTAGGGAGTTGTGGAAACTCGCCCCTTTGGTGAGTGGCTTTGAGATTAGTGGAATGACAGATTTGAGAGCTGATTGGATGGTCCTTCATGGGCTCACCTGTCTCCCTCCTGCGGGAGTTTCCTCCTCTCCATTAGTGCCCTGGATCCTTTGGTCACTATGGAAATCGCGGAATAAATTTTGTTTTGAAAACTTTGCTGGGAATCCAGTTCTAACCCTGACGCAGGCCATAGTTGCAGCTCGGGAATGGTCTATAGCCCAGAAGAAGGAAGCCAAGATGGCAAGAAAGAGCAGCAAAGCTCCGGTGCAAGAGGTGGACACGGTTGTTCGCACGGATGCTGCGTGGTCACCATCAACGAAATATGCAGGGATTGGTTGGACAATTCTGAGCCAAGAACAGAGGATATCCCACAAACAAGGACTCAACTACATCGGTTCGGCACTGGTGGCGGAAGGCTTAGCACTTAAAACTGCTATGGAGGATTGTGGTGCTAGGGGTCTGAAGGGGGTACGCTTCGAAACAGACTCATCTCTGCTGTGTAAGGCGATTAATTATAAATCGCCCCCGCTGGAACTCTATGGAGTGTTCGAAGATATTTCTTTACTGTCTTTTGCTTTTGATTGTATTGCTTTTGAATGGATTCCACGTGAGAGAAATGGTGAGGCTGATCTTCTTGCTAAGTCAGCCTTAGCTTTGTTTGAACAAGAAGTGGGTGAGGCTGTCTTAATGCCCCCACCAAACTAGTTGTTTTATTAATGAAGGTAGTTGTGACAAAAAAAAATATGAGAAACAAAAATAAAAGCTGTCTTTAATACATTAAGATTTGTTTATATGAGAAACATTTATTTTTTATATATATTTTTCATGGTATACTATCGGAATATTTTTTTTTCAAATTAATGAGTATCTTTGGAGAAATATATATTACCATACTCAGTATGGTTTTAGTATTGGTAGATATGATGTCCAAGACTCCAAAGAATATTCCCAAAATCAATTATTTTCTTGTTATTTATAAAAGCAATGAAAAGATTAAAACAAAAAAATTGCATGTAATAGTCAGATTTATTGGTAAAGATTCACAGAATTCCCAAATGGCTAATTTCTACATTTACATGATCAAAACTAATAAAAATCCTTTTGACATAGTATCTATAGTTAATTCATTATTTTCATTCAATGGTTATGTTGGTATAAATATTTCTTTCACAGATATAAAAAAAATGAATACAATACATTGGTTTTAGATCCAACCTGTATTATAGAATCTGCAAACCCATTCCAAATTCTGTTAGTTTCTTTCATTTAGAGCATCTCCAAAAAAAAATTCGATTTTGAAGTTTCAAAAATTCTTTATTTGAAGTTTCAAAGTGTTTTTCTCCAAAAGAAAAACTTCAAAATTATTTATATATTACATTATAGTTCTTAAATTTGACACAGTTAATGAAAATTCATAAAACTTTTATAAATAATTAACGCATATATAAAAATATTACAAGAATATTAGTTAATAAAAGTTTACACTAAAATATTAAACTAGAAATAGAAATATTATTTCATAAAATTATTTCTGACATCACAATCTTCAAAATGCCTTCATTTTCAATCAATTTAAGTAGTGATGATGGCAAGTTCACGTCCTATTGGATCGAAGAAAGCAAAAATCAAAAGGAAGACTAGCAAAGGTAATAATAAAGCGGCTGATACTTTGATATCATCCAACAAACAAATCCTTGATTTTTTAAAAGAAAGTGCAACAAGCCAGGATAAACATCATGAGATAATTGAATTACGAATGAAAATGAAGCAAAGAAATTAGCTTTAAAAGAAGTAAACGAGGAAAAATAAAATATTGCTAAAAACTTAGCTTATATCGGTGATATTAATACTCGTAAATACATTGGTTCTGAACAAGAAAGAATCATACAAAAAAATGTCAAGAACAACAAGAACAACCATCTTCGGTTACAAAAATTTGTTTGGATTTGAAATTTTTTGGAGTTTCCAGGCGAGATTTACTAGATTATTAGTATTTTTGTAATATTTAAATTACTATAATAATTATGTTTTCATGTCCCTTTTTAAAAATAATTTTAATTAAGTTTGTTTTATAATATTCTTGTTGTCTAATTCTACTTTTAAAGTAATATAAATCTTATTTTAAGTTTTTTATTTAATTTTATGTGTAAAGCTTAATATATAGAAATAAATTAGAAGATTTGTGAGATAATTTTTTAAAGATTAAAATGATAAATAAGAAAATACTTAAGAATCGTAAATAAGATATGTAAATATAAGGACTAAATTACAAATAAAAAGATAAACTTCAAATTTAAAATTATGGGGGGTGAAACTTCATATTGAGAGCAAAAAATTCTATATTTGAAGTTATAGAAAATCTTTTGGAGATCTTTTTATATAAAGTTATCTATTGAACGTTTGGTTCATGAAAAGTATGTAGCCGGATACTTAGGTGAGAAAACCACTAGAGATATATTACTAATCCTTTTAAATGAGAAAATGACTAAAATATCACTAAAAACGTTTTTGTCGCAAATCTAACAATTAAGAATAAAAATAATCAAAATAGGACTTAATGTTTTATTAAACGTGATAAATATACACATATATCCCAATGATAAATTAATTTAGATTAGGGTTTAGGGTTAAGGGGTGGGATAAGGTTTAGGGTTAAAAGTTTAGGATTTAGGATTTATAATTTAGGTTTTAGGGTTTAGAGTTGGAAAGTGGGGTTTTGGGGATAAGATTTCAATTTTTGAAAAACAAAAAGAAATTAAAATTTTCAAAAAATAAAATACTATTTTTGATCATTTTAGTTTTTAAATGTTATTTTTGTGACATAAACTTAGAAATGTGTTATTTTTGAGATTTGCCCTTGAAAAAAAGCATATGATCACCCCATGAACAAACATTTTCGTCTTTACCAAAACAAAAATTCCATCTCACAAAGGCGTAAAAGTTCAGTCGATCTTGGCACTTGAAGTGTGAGAATGTAAAGCTAATACAGTTGATTTCATGTTGTAAATAATGATCTAAAGTACCTTGTTGAGGAATCCATCATAGTGTTTATACATCCAAGCTTTCACCTTCTGAATAAAAAAGCTTTGCTTTTGTCCATAAGGATTGCCATAATAATGGCGTGATTATATGAAGTCAACTCATCTCCAGCCGTTGAGTCTTTGTGCAAGATCACACTAACATTTCCCTTTCTATGTGCCAATAACAAGAACTAGTTTACACGCCAAACGTTACCAAATAGGCAAATATGAAACAGAAAAACATAATGGAAAAAAAAACAAATCAAATCAAATCAAACCATTCTAGTGAGAAGCTCCACAATGTAAACATGGTTTAAGAATCCAACCAGAACTAAGAAAATGTCTACAAAAAGACTTTAACAGCAAATTTTCATGACAGGAACAGGCTCCTGCAATGATACTGATCTCTCATCCATGAGAGCATCAACATAACTCCCAATCAAGAAGAATTTGACATCCTGGAGAACGTTTTTTAACTTTGTTAACCCCCCCAAAGATTTCTTCATCCGAGACATAACGAGGAAAATCTGTGAGACTCAGAGTTAGCTTCTTCATGACTGCAGCGTTTTCAAGAAAGTAAGTGGCTACTTTTATTTCCTCTTCCTCCCACTCATGGATTCTTTTTAGCCGAACACACTCCAGAGTCGATAAGAAGCACCCCGGCACATTCGTGAATTCAAATGCATCCTCCATCTCCCTTGAATAATAAACCTCCTGGAAACACACACATAAAAGGCTGAGTTGAAACCTATAAACTTAGACCAAATCACACTGTGTTAGTTGAGAGAGATATTTGTACCAAGATTAGGTGTTTCAGATTTGGGCAACATTCAAGAAATGCTGGCAAAAACTGTAATAAATTGCTACGGAACACAGCTTCTAAACGTGTCAAGTAACTGAATTTAGGAATCAACCCCACTCTCGAGTAAAGCTCAAAGGCCTGCAAACACCAAGATTATATATATAAATAAGTGAGAGGTTTTTAATGAGACAAAGTCCTGTCTAAAATATACACATACCTTCACTGTTTTCTCAGAGATGATCATGTGGCTTACACCAGAGATCCCAGAAAGAAAATAACGTACTTCATTTATCTTTGATAAGTCCCCCGAATCAAAGAACTCTCCAAACTCAACAACAAACTTGACATCAAGGTCAACCATGACCAAAGAGTTGAGGTTCTTTACCATGATCACATCATAATGATCTTCTCCAAGAATCATATGCTCTAGCATTGGAGCATCGATCTCAAGTGTGCATTTCACTCTCGAACTGCAATCTTCTCCGTGAGAGAGCGGAACACGAAACCTCTTCAAGCTCCCAGACCTCACAGTCATGAAACTATCAACCTCACGTTCAAAACTAGAATCCATATTCCTTATCATGGTAAGCTCTTCAAGAACAGGACATCCCGACACGAGTTTCTCCAGGTTCGCAGCGTGAAGAAAGTGAACTTTGACAAGAGTCATTGATTTAAGACAAGGCATAGAAACAAAACCAGGATCCTCAAGACCAGAAAACGTGAGCTTCAAGGAAACCAGTGTCCTGCTTGTGTACAAATTGAGAGGCACGTAGTCGATGGAAGAATAGTGAAAATTGTAGTCGTGATCTATATAATCAGTACAACTCTCAAGTTCTAGATGTTGAGGTCCACGTTGAATCAATGTACTGATCCGATCCTTGAGCCCGTCTATATCCACGCTACCGCACTTCACTTTGACTTTTAGAAGGCGTGGGTCAAACTCGAGGAGTCTGTCGAGGAAGCTGAGGACAACTTGGTCTTGTCCATAAGGGAAGTCATCGCAGTTTAAGTCAAGAGCTGGAACACCTTGCCATAGATTCTTCCATCTGGTTGATAAGACGCTTGTCTTCACTGAGTGTTTAGTGGGAAGGAATGAGAGTATATGAGTAAGCAAAGGTTCAGGCAACTCGCTGATCCTATCAGGCCCAGGCATCATCACGAGACCCTAAGAGCATCAACAAACAACAACAACAACAGTGTAAAAAAGAAAAAAAGAGATGTTTATTCCTTTATAATGGGAAAAATGTTAAACAAATTCTCAACTTTGCGATTTGGACCATTATAATCCTCACCTTTCAGAATAGTCACAAAAACACACACATTTATTATTGACTATCTAAAAAACCTTTAACTTTTCGTTGAATGAATCGATTTAAACCCGATAATTACACTAACATAAAGTTTAAACAAAGTTAATTCTCGTCGTTAGTGATGGGTTCGGATTTAAATGAGATTCGAGATTTTTGGTGGTGAATCAAAAAAGTTAGGGTTTGTCTTTGAGAAAACCTCCAAATCGATTTGAAAAATAAAAAGAAATGTGGTGGTTTTTAATTGGACAGAGCACATTTAATTGGACAGAACACATGGTTAACGAAGGGAATTAACTTTGTTTAAACTTTCTGTTAATGTAATTAACGTTGGGTTTAAATCGATTCATTCAACGAAAAGTTAAGTGTTTTTTAGATAGTTAATAATAACTGTGTGTGTGTTTTATGGATATTCTGAAAAATGAGGATTATAATAGTCAAAATCGCAAAGTTGAATTTGTTTAACATTTTTCCCTTCTATCAAATACTAAAAGTGATGTGTTTCTCTAATTCAGACTACAATGGTTATTTAAGAACGGAATCTGGGTTTTTGAAGAACTCACCGGAGAGTTGATTCGGCGGCGGATTGTAGCGGCGAAATGAGAGGGAAAGGTGGGAACTTTTGTTTTTTTGTTTGTTGGAGATACGAAACCGATCGTGTCTATTCATACGTTGAAGTGGCTCTTATTCCCGAGCGTTTCAAAATTAAATGCTGTTATTATTGTGTATCATAAAGATCCTTTTTTATTAAAAGAAACATTTAGTTTTTTCATGAAAAATTTATGCAAATCATTTAGTTTTTCATTGTCAATCAAATTGATTACTTTTGTGAGTTTTGATATCCAAACAATCTTCCAAAATTAATTATTTTTGTTATAAAATCAAAAATAGTAGCTGAGAGATTCGGTTGATAAATTGCGTTTAACATGCAGATATTACTGGTAAAGAATTAAGAGAATTTCAAAAAGCTATATGCTACATTCAACATGATTGATGGAGTATAAGAATATTCCCTAAATATTGCAAAATCAAAATATGAATAAATGCTTAGGAACGTTAACGTATGACTGTTTAGGTGTTTATTACTTACTCCCTCTATTTATATTTGCCTACTTAGTGGATATATAGATCCGTAAACCCTAAATTCAGATTCTTTTAGTTTCTTGAATCCATAGAACATTTGAGTGAGGTCCATTTTAATGTATAGTTAGATAATAAACCCCACTTGAGAGAGACGATTAATCATTTTAAAAAGGCATATGACTCGAACTGGTATCACCACACTAAGAAACTAACATGTTTTTGTGTCTTTTACCAAAACAAAAACTCCATCTCACAAAGGCCTAAAAGCTCAGTCTATCTTGGCACCTGTGGCGTGAGATATCCAATTTGCTCTCCATGTAATGGAAGGACAAAGAAGACGCTCTGTTTTCCAACCTCCTGATCTCAGCTAACATAACAAGGAAACAAACAAACAAAAAGAGTGAAAATCAAAAGTTATTACAGTCAGATTTCATGTTGTAAATAATTATCCAAGTTACCTTGTTGAGGAACTCGTCATAATGTTTATCCATCCAAGCTTCTCCTTCTGAGTAAAAAGCTGTGTTATTTTCCATGAGATTTGCCATAGCAACGGCGTGAATATATGACTTCAACACATCTCCAGCCGCTGAGTCTTTATGCAGGATCACATTTACATTTCCCTTTCTATGTCCCAATAAGTACTTAGCTGCAGGAGTTTACAATGAGACAAGAACTGAGTTTACACGCCAAACATTCCCAAATATGTAATAGAGAAACATTATGGAAAAAAGAGATAAAATTAAACCATTCTTGTGAGAAGAACCTCCAACACCATTTAGGAGTTGCATCCTGCAAATAAATTGTCAAACCTCACACGGATTATTTCCCTTAAAGCTGCGAAAATCTTAGTTTCTTAATTATAAACTGTGACTTGTGGTGGTTTAAGTATATAACTTACATATCTGGACGAGGGAGAGAAGAAACTCTTACACCTAAGTGCACTCTCTTATGCAATGCGTTTGAATCAGTTGACTTCAATGAAGTGGCCCACACGGGCAATACACCCTCCATTGAGGAAACCTGCTCGGGAGAGAGAACTGGCGACATGTTTGGTTAAAGAAAATTCCTAATAGATATGATACAATGATAAAGAAGAAAAAAGAAAAAAGGGAAGCCATTGAAACGTTCAGAGAATCAGTGACACATCTCTGAGAATTACCTTGGCCGGTTTGCATGAAATGTGCTAGAAGAATCGAACTCCTCTCGAAGTTCAATGAATTCAATACAAGGCACCGGACAGCTCTATAGTTTGCTAAATACGCAAGAAAAGGAATACAGTTAATGAAAAGAACTAAAGAGTTTCTGATTTGATCTAAGCTTTTAACTTTCATCAGTAACTTACCATACATGTGAAACACAGTGAGGGAGAGAAACGATAACCAAATAGCTAAAGGGTTTCCAGAGGTAAACCGAGCAAGCAACATTCCCAATGACATACCCATCATAGTTGCCATAGTCTCTTGGCTTCCTTCCTTCCATCCAATAGATAAAAACATATCCAATAAACAACTAAAGATTTCACAGTTTCTTAATCATTCACAGTGAATAGAAGTACCTTAGCAGATATATCTGCTGCATTGTCTTGGAGAGCAAAGTGCTGAGTTAGAGCTGCTCTGGTTGCTCCACTTGCAACACCAGCTAATTCAAGCAGTGAAGAGCAATAATATGTTAATATCCGATGTTATGTTATATCAGGTAATCTTAACTTCAATGTTTGTTGCAAGTAATGAAACTTACTAAATGATCTTGATAGACTCCCTAAGCAAACAACAATGATAAAGGCAGATGGAAATAGAGGAGAAAGAAGGTCCATTAGCATTCCTGCAATAAAGAGCAACAAGGCCTGGAATCATTCAAAGTCTCAGAGACCAAATACAGGGAACTATATTCAAGTGTGAATGTGACCAACTAGCTATTACTAGTGTGAACAGAACAGAAAAACAATACCAATATCATTCATAAGGTCCGCAACCAGGCGCCACATTTTTGCATTACTATCAAGGTTGGAGCCCTGAGGAGCAGAAAACAAAATCATAGAGATCCCATATTGAGCTCAGAAGAAAAAAAGGGAGTCAATTGCTGATGTAATACAATTACCTAAGTTCTCACAAAACATCAAAAAACCAACAGAAGAGAAACTGTAAGGTATATGATTGGGGAGAAACTAAGAACCTGATAAAAAGTGAACAAAATGCCTCCAAGCATCCCAGTAAAATCCCTCAGAAACCACTGCATAGTACAAACAACAGATAATAATCACTATAATCCATGGCGATTTAGTAGTCTTTTGAGAGAGACAATGAGTTCCACAACAGGAGAAAATGATACATAACATGTCAGCAATCTGAAAAAAATCACCTGAAATGTAGCACCAATAACCGTTGCGGATTTCTCACCAACCCCAATTGCACTCAAAAGAGCCTGTAGAAATAGTCCAAATCAGAAAACCCTGCAGCATGCCAAATCAATAACTCAAAAAGCTGAAAACTTGATCTCACCTGAGTTGAAAGCATCATCTTTATATAAGTTGAGAGCCCCTGCAGGAAAAAAAAAAAAAAAACAAGAACATAGCCTAATCACAACTCCAAATTCTAGAGTAGCCACACAAGGCACACAAAGTATAATCTCACATACCTGTAAGGTATCCCATAATTGAAACCCTACATAATCCGGAGTTACACTATCAGGAAACCCCTGCATTAGAAAAAAGTATTTATCTCAAAATCCTAATTCGAGAGGAGAGATTCTGAGAAGAGTCTCACTTGCCTCAGGTACAAAGGCTTGAAGAACTCGTCTCCAAACATGGTTGATTCGATTAGCAGACCTATTAATCACACACCCACGACACAAAAGTTTTCAACTTTATAGTGAAGCAACCAGATTTTTGAACTGGATTAGAAAAAGAGGAAGAAAGGGAGAACCTTTGGACGGAGAGGGAAGAGGAGGCAGTGATGGTTGCTGTTTTGAATAGCTTAGTAGAAGAAGAACCATTCCACTCTTCGAGTGTGATCGATGCACAAACAGAGTTCTCTTCTTCCTCTTCTCCTCCCATGTCAGAAACTTACCTTCTTCCTCAAAATGTTGACTTTTCTAATTTTAAAACACTTTTTGTCTTGTTTTAAAAAAAAAAAAAACTTTTTGTTGTCTTAGTTTTGTGGGCCGAGTTTGGTTTCAGTAACGACCGAAGAAATTGTCTAAAAAAGGAAAAAAACAGCATTGCGGGTCATATTTAAATATGTAACTCTATATGTTCTCTAGTGTCTTGTAAATTTTAACCAAACTTGGCCGTTGACGAGCAGAGGGAGGTCTCTCTCCAAGACTTGACATTCTAAACTCGGTCGCAGGCTTGAACGACTCATCATCCGATTGCTTCTCCAAAAAGTCTTAATCTTTCATCTACTTTTGATTTTTTTTTTTTTTTGATGATTGTGGATTTAACAAGTCCTCAACTTCTGCTCATATGTGTTTTTCATTTCCATGTTTCAGGCTTCTTCTTTTCTCCTTAAAAAAGTCATGAGGGAGCAACAATATTTTGTAACCTTGCTGCTGGTTGTTGTTGTTGGAGCAGTTCAAAAAGTGAAATGTCATATAGAAAAACCTTTATCAGGAATTGCTATCCATAAAACGAGTTTTGATCTCAATGAACAAGCTCATGTTAAAGCATCTCCAACTGTTCTTGGATCTAATGTAATAAAAAGACAATTCTCTCTTGCATATCAAGATTTTGACATCATAGTGTTTAATGAAATAAAAACTTCAACGTCATTGTTTTTTGTTTTGGCAGGGTCAACATAGTGAATCTGTGTTGGTGGAGTTTAGTTCTCCTAATCCATCAGATGATGATTGGATTGGAGTGTTTTCTCCTGCAGATTTCATGTTAGTTTATTATTATTAACATCTTCCTTCTCATCAAAACTAAATTGAAATAAGGACTTGTGTTGCTCTTTACAGGTCTTCTACTTGTCCAGGATATAACAAGAAAAGTGTGAACCGACCTCGACTGTGTTCAGTTCCCATCAAGGTTTTTTTTTTCTTATAATAAGGATTCACCATTGTTTCTGCTTTTTTACACTGCAACAAGTCTTTAATCTTTCTCCTCATGTTTCCTCTTTACAGTTTCAATATGCAAATATTAGTAATCCAAGCTACAACAATACTGGAGTTGGTTCCATGAAGCTTCAACTGATAAACCAGAGATCAGATTTTTCCTTCGCGCTCTTTTCTGGCGGTTTGTTGAATGTAATACTCATTCACCTACAAAATTCTCTAGCTTTACAACTGATTTTCTAGCTAACATTTTCTGCTTTTTTTCCTTGTGTAATAGCCAAAGCTTGTGGCAGTCTCAAACAAAGTAGCCTTTAAGAACCCAAACGCACCAGTTTACCCACGCTTGGCTCTAGGCAAAGAATGGGATGAAGTAAGATCCTCTAAACCCTTTTGATGGTTCCACTTAAACAAGTCGAAATGAGTTTTCTCAATCTTGTTTCTTGAGCAGATGACAGTAACATGGACTAGTGGTTATGCAACCGATGTAGCAGAACCTGTAGTCGAGTGGGGTATAAAAGGAAGAAAACGTAAACTCTCACATGCTAGGACATTGACCTTCAAGCGTAAAGACTTGTGTGGTGCTCCTGCAAGAACTGTGGGATGGCGTGATCCTGGATACATACACACATCTTTCCTTAAAGAGTTATGGCCAAGTTCCAAGTATACGTACAAAGTTGGGCATAGATTGTCAAATGGTGCATTCATATGGAGTAAAGAGTATGAGTTTAAATCTTCTCCATTTCCAGGCCAAGACTCTCTCCAACATGTTGTAATCTTTGGTGACATGGGAAAGGTTTGGTCTAAAACCATATCAGACTGTTATTTTTATCTGTTGCAGTCTCAAGACTGTATTCATTAGTTTTTTTTCTTGTTGTAGGCTGAGGTTGATGGCTCAAATGACTACAAAAGTAACCAACGCCCTTCTCTCAATACCACAAAGCAACTTATAAAAGATCTAGACAAGACAGATGTTGTTTTTCACATTGGAGATATATGTTACGCAAGTGGATATCTTTCACAGTGGGACCAATTCACAGCTCAGATTGAGCCCATTGCTTCCACTGTTCCATACATGATTGCAAGGTTTTGTCTCTTTCTTCTTTTTTTTCTTGTTTGATATATTTTTCTTGTTTAGTGTCTGAAAGTTAACTCTGTGCAGTGGGAACCATGAGCGTGACTGGCCCTACTCAGGATCTTTTTACCAAGGTGTAGATTCTGGAGGAGAATGTGGTGTACCAGCTGAGACAATGTTCTATGTTCCTACTCAAAACAGAGATAAGTTATGGTACTCTAGTGACTACGGAATGTTCAGGTTCTGTGTTGCTGACACTGAACAAGACTGGAGAGAAGGAACAGAACAATACAAGTTCATTGAGCACTGCTTAGCATCAGTAGACAGAAAAAAACAGCCGTGGCTGATATTCTTAGCTCATCGCGTGCTTGGTTATTCCTCCACAGAGTTTTATGCCAAAACAGGCTATTTCGCTGAACCATTTGGGAGAGGTCATCTTGAAAAGCTCTGGAAGAAGTACAAAGTGGACATTGCAGTTTATGGCCATGCACATAACTACGAGAGAACATGCCCCGTTTATCAGGTAAAACACAAAAGTGAACCTTAAAAACAGAATATGATTAGATGGTTCTGATGTTTTTTTTGTGTGTAGAGTTTATGCAAGAGTTATGAGAAAAGTAACTACAAGAGCCCAATGGATGGGACGATACACGTAGTTGCTGGAGGTGGTGGAGCTCATCTTGCTGAATTCTCCAAGCAGCAACCGAGTTGGAGTTTGTTCAGAGACTACGACCATGGATACATTAAACTTACAGCGGTTGATCACTCTACTCTTCTGTTTGAATACAAGAAGAGCAGCGATGGAAGAGTCCATGATTCATTCAAGATATCAAGAGGTTACAGAGAGGGTTCAGCTTGTGGTGTTGATAATAGTTGCCCTGCAACAACACATGCTACATAAAAGAAGATCTTTCTGTGGTCACTGTTCCATTGTTAAGTCAATTATATACTAAAAGTATTAAAGCAAGAATCATTATATCATTTGATGATTCTTTGATGTTCTCTTACACCTAAAATACAAAGAGAATCTTGACCTTCATCAAGATTAAGATTTGGCACATTTCATTCTTAAAGCCAAACCATGCAGAAGAAATCCAAAAGATTTTTTTTTTTTTTATAAAACAACAACTAGAAAGAGAAGACACGTTCCAGTCTTGAGTGTCAAAACGTTGAAGGAGAAGTGTTGACAACGATATGCCTAAGGGGACGATCAACATCACCACCACCACCATGTTTAACAAACTCAGCAGGTGTCAAGAAACTGCCATGGCAAATGCACATGATCCGAACATCCTCTCCTACTTTCCCGTACTTGTATAGAATCCCATCGACACGTCTCCCGTTTGGTCCGTCTCCTTTTGTGAACACACACGGCATGTCAAACAAACCTGTAGACGTATCCGTCCCTTTGCCTTTCTCATTCACCTTCTCGTAGGCTTTAGGTTTCTCTGTTCCGTGAGTTTCGCTGTTATTAGATGAACATCTTGTCATGATCTTTGGACTTGTTTCCGCTCCACAACTATTTGATGAACCTACAAGACCCTTAGTGTTACGTCTACTAATCTTGAAAAAAACATTATTGAGAATCTAACCTACCTTGTTGGTTCTTGTTGTTGTCCAGCTCCGACAAGCTAGAAGAGCTACCTCCTCCTCCTTTTCTACCGTCGGAATCAATGCAAGAAACCAAATGCCTTTGTAGAAACCCACTTTTACTACTCTCAAACGACGACGTTTGCTCATCTCTGAAACTCTGTTTCTCGCATCTTCTCTTCTTAGCTTCCATTCTCCTTACCGACTGCATCTCTTTCCTTTTCCTCCATTCCTCTTCCACCTCCGTAGGCAACGACGTCGTTCTCGCTAAACCGACAGTGTAATTCTCCGGCTCGGTTACAAACGGTAGAGTTCCCAAAACGGAAGAAGAACGTTTAAGCTTTCTTGGATTCTTGTCTACTCCGAAGCGACCACCTAAAGAGAGACCAAGATTCAGCTCAACAGCTGTCTCGTCTTCGAAGTCCGATGTTTCACCACCGTTGTTTTCAGACAGATCTGTCGGGTCTTTATTTATGTCCAGAGAAAGATTTGTTGTTAACCTCATGTCTATGTGCCATGCCCGTTGTTGTCTGCTTGCTTCTTCCCCCATAACACTGATGATGAAATACAAAAAAAGAAATTCATAATTTCACATATTTTATAGACTAATTCATAAGGGATCAAAGTTAGTTTTATGTAACGAGAAAACTCGTCGGAGTTTACCAGAGAAGGTGGTGGTGAAGAAGAAGAAGACGAGAGAAGCTTGAAACTGAAGTTGACCTGAAAGAGAAAACGCTTTTTTTTTAGATAATTAGAGATTAAAGAAATGAAAAGAGATGAAGGAAGAAGAGGAAGAGACTGAGAGAGAGAGGAGGCAAGTGGACGGCGAGAGAGCTGCCTGAACGACACGTGGCCGGTGGATTACGTCGACGTTCTGTAATGCTGCTTGAGGAAACGTGTCGTAAAGCGACTGAGTTTAAGAGAGATGCGACACGTGTCTCCTCCCAGGTAAAAAGATGCGTTTTTTGCTCCCTTTTTTTTTTAATTCAGAAAAACATAAAAATGGAATTTTTGATTAATCTAAGCGACTCGACAACGTCACTCACGTGGCTCGCACCGTGGAACCCACTAGGGAAGCAAGTTGCTTGTGGAAAAAGTGAATGGAGAAGAATAACACTTCATTTTTGTATAAAGAAAAAGTTATAAATTTTAATTATTACTACAAAAAGGCAAATGCTAATAAATTAATAAATATACTATAAAGTATTGAGGTAACGTTTTGATCATTGACTAAACTTTTGATTAGAAACCGCAACAAGCTATAAAACATTAGTGAGAGAAGTGTGAGGTTAATTGATAGAGTGAAAGTTAGGTTGGAGAATGAAATCTATAAATTGAAAAGAAGATTTTTAGAATCTTTGGTGGGTCACTTTGTTTAGTCAAGTGGGGGACCTAGGAGAAGCTCTTTAACTTTAACCATAAAAACCCAAAATACCACGTGTCATTCACCTGTTGGTTTTTTGTAATATGAGGAAACTTAACAATAATAGAGTGAAGAAGACCCCTATCCACTTTCCCATCACCCAGAGAAGCCCATAATGTATAAGGGCTTGCCCATGTTGCCTTTTGTACTGACATGCATCAAACCAAGGAATTTCCGGTTTGACTCTGGTTAGGGTTTGTAAACCAGTCAAATGAAGCTTACTGAATCAGAATCATATTTTTTTAAAAATTATCATCTCAAATGAAAGGAGTATAGCCTAAGAGATGAGACCAACTCCAACAAAACTTCTAATCTCTCCCTCTCTTCTCATATAAGACTTTCAGATTCTCAATTTCAAATGAACAATGCAACAACAACAACAGAGTTTTAAAACTCTCTTTAGCCTCTGGCTTGAGCATTTTCACGGCTAGCTTTCACCAAAGTATTCTGATAAGCTCTGCTGCCATCACCATTATTATTGGCCTCACCATTGCCTGATTCACCTCTTCTCTCATATCCATTTCTTCCATGGCCTCGTCCTCCTCCGTTGAAACCGTTTCCCCGAGGCCTAAACCCGTCGTTTCTGTAACCACCGTTCTCACTCCTATAACCTCCGTTTTTCATTGAGGGTCTGCCACTCTCGTTGTTGCCTGCAGAAGAACCAAAGTCATATAGGTGGAAACTTGAAAGACAATGTTTACAAAAGTAGTAAACTTTGTTTTGTTAACTAACCTCGTTTCTCTTCAATAGAAACTCTTCTGTTTCCGATTCTTATGGCTGACTCCTTGTGAGCCTAGAGTTTGTGTAATACAACACATCAGAAGAAAGCATTCCAGTTTACAATCAAAAGTTTAAACATACCTGGAGGACCAGTTTCACAGCTTCAGCAGACTCGAATGTCACAAATCCAAAACAGTTTCCCTTTAGCTGAAAATTTCAAAAGTTTTGAGTTTGTTCATATTTCCAGAGTACCTAAACGAAATGTGTAAAGATTCATTTAATTAAAACAAAAAAACTCACCCTGTAACTTCTAACTTGGATAGCATCTTTCTTAATAGCACCAAAACCTTTGAATGTTTCATTGAGCTGCTCTGGTGTCGCATCCATAGGCAAGTTCGCAACAAATATAGAACCACCCTCTGCTGTTACAATACATGCAAATAGGCTTAGGCTTCACAGAAGAAGCTTTGACAATGAATGTTAAAACTTTTGAAACAAAACCTGATTGGTCGATTTCGGGAACAGGTGCAGGAGCTTTGGATTCAGGAGCAGTACTCAGCTTTCTAACAGGCTTAGGCTTTGCAGGAGAAGCTTTGACATTGAATGTAGCACCAGGTTTAGCCGGTGATTGTACCTAAGTGTGAGTTGGGAAACTTCTTTAAGATCATATAACCAAAGATTGAGCCATAAAAATTTGATAATATACACAAGAGAGGACTCACAATCACTGCAAAGGACTTCTTGGGAGCATCCACACCGTTGCTGACTTTTTCCTCATGTGTCTTGGGATGTCCATTTGCTATAGCTCTTTCTGGTTCCTTCACCACAACAACTTCATTTGTCTGTTTCACCACAGATTCTTGAGAAGGGATGGAAACTGGCTCTGCAACTTCATTTGCCAGCGGCTCTGCTGATCAAAAATGTGATATATTCTTACCAAACCCCCAAATGTAATAAGATCAAACACAATAACACTGGTCAATACTCACCTAAGATAGTCTCCGTTGTTTGAACTACTTGAGGAACCACCTCCTCGACCTCCTTCCTGTCACCTTCTGGTTCAACAAGCTCATCAGAGACATACCTAAAGACATCATTCAGCACAAAGTAACTTCCTTTCTGCGGCACGAGGAAAAAAGACTGAGAAAATCTCATCCTTTCCCCATCTTTCACGGTGAGTAAACCAGTGACCAAAGTCACAACTCCACTCTTGTAAGAAGCTTGAGAATCAGCAGTCAAAATCTGAATCTTTGTGTTCTCGTAATCAAAGGACATGATCTTCTCATTAATAGCCTACAAACAGAGCTCCTAAAATCAAAATGTTGCTTCGAAAACAAACATCAAAGAATAAAAACTTTGTATCTTACTTTTAACGAGTTGACAGAAACCATCTCTCCATCAGAACCAGGTCGGCCTAAGACACTATCCTCAAGATAGAAGCGATGAACTTGTGCTGGTGATTCATACAAGTGGTTGTAGTATTTCTGAACAAACGCATTGCCAACAATGTGTGGATCCGCCAAAGGAGCATTTGATTCGAGTGACATCTCTCTATACACAATCCTATAACTAGTGTCAGAAACAAACAATAAAAATCAAAGCTTTGCACGAAACCGAAACTAAAACAGAGCTTAGAAACAGAGTTTAAAAGAGCAATCTTTTTTTTTATTTCAAACAAGAGATTTCAATAAAAAAACCAAATCAAACACATTTGTTCTCATTCCAAACTACACAAAACCATAGTAAGAGTTGCAATGAATCTATAAGTAAGACTTGAGAGATTACATATAAGTGTTCTGTAATGAAAAAACATTCGTTAGAAGTTGTATAGATCTCTCAATATAGGATAAACAGATGTAACACAAGTATTGATTCAAACAATGAGAAGCAATGAACAAAAAGGCAAATACCTTGGAAGATGAGAAGGTGGAGAAATCTCAGATCAGAGTGAAGAGAAGGAGGATACACACACGAGCGATGAGTATTATAATATTATGGAAAAAAAAAGATTAAAGTGGCTTTCTTGTAGCTAGGGTTTTACTTAGAAATCTCCGACGAGCATTTTGGGATTTCTTGTAGTTTTTGTACGGCCTTTTCTACTATTTTTTTTTCTAGTAAATTATTAATATATTATTATTTATTTATGGTAAAGAGGACTTTCCTTGAAAATGTGGCCAGGAATTCAAATGTAATTGTTTATAAAAGCCAAAAATATTTGAAGAAATTAGGAAAAAGCCCCCGGCGAGGATCGAACTCGCGGCCTTTCGCTTACGAAGCGAACGCAATACCACTATGCTACGGAGGCTTTTGATATTCTGTTCAATAAATATAAAGAAAAACAAAATGCGTTTGTATATCACTAGTTTGAATACTGTTCAAATACCAAATGAAACATTTAAGGATGCAGAGTCAAATCTTTGCCATATGTTATCGGCCCAATTTAAAACTTAACGGATAGGCTACATTCTTTTAAAGCCTATGAATCTAAGTCTGAAAACGAAGCCTTTAAATCACAATTCATCTAATTTTGACCAATGGCATCCTCCCTTCAGCAAGTACATAAGAAGAGACTTCTACTAAGAGCCTGTCTGAATTGTTACGACTTACGAGTTAACAGCATTAGGCATTGGCATTCGGGCCTCATTCGCGTTTCGGTTTTGTCCAATCGGGTCTCGGGTCTCGGTTATTCAGGTTTATCAAAATCAACCCATTCGGATTATTTAAAAGTTCGGTTCGGGATCGGTTCGGGTTCTATCGGGTCAGGGTTAGTAAATCTTTAAAGAACCGGTAAAACTCGTTATACTTCCGGATTCGGGTCCCAATCGGTTTTTTGGTTTAAAAATACTTGATTTGTACCTACTTTGTAACCAAAACATAAGTAAAATTAATTCAAAAATAAGAAAGAAACATCAAACTTGGTCATTCAAAATCACATGAAAAGTAAACATCTATACTATTAAAGCAGGATCCTATTGTTAAAATTTTGGATTCTACCCCTAGATTTTTATCACATTTATAAAATAATACCACTATTTATTTTTAGAATCTTAATTAATTAAACAATTTAATATCTCCTATATTTATGGTAACTGATAATATTTCCTATTTCTATGGAATATGGAAATCTACTAATTATACTTAGATTAAACCAGTGGTTATTTATGGAATATAGTCTTGGGCTTACTTTTATTTTTTGAACAAATTATATAGTTTGGTTTTTGGGCTTAGTATTAAGAAAAAACTCCAAAAAACATTGAATAAACTTTTCACCTTAAAAGATCAAAAAATCAATTATTATTTTCAGACTCAAAAGGTATTTAATATTTTTAACAAAACAAAATTATCTATTATTAATCATTTATTTAAATCATGTACTTTAAAACATGTTAATATATTTTTATTTCAAATAACAATCCCTTTGTTTTGATAAATTTCAATTGTAACTTTTAAATAATTTATTGTTTTATTTTTCTTAAAGAATTTAGTGATTAAAAAATGTAAAGCAAAACCAAAAACCAAAAACCAAATCTAAAAACTAAAATCCAAAACCAAAAGCTGAAAACACATATTATTTTTTTTTTTTTACTTTGTTTATTTAGAAAATAAACTATTTCAAATTTTTTTTAAAAAATTGTTGTCATCTTTTCAGTTTTAAATTATATGTTCGATTATTTGAGATTTGTTTGTTGGTAATATCAGTTCAAACTAACTCAGCGGATTTAAAAATTAAAAACACAAACCAAAAAGTGAAAATGAAAAGTAGAAACTTAAAAACTAAAAATTAAAAACCAAAAACCAAAATCTAAAAATAAAAAGTGAAACTAAAAACTAATGAAAAACAATCATCACCACAAATTTTGGTGAACTGATTTTATATCAAAATATTCTTTAAATTAAGACAAAATCCAATTATATAAATTTTTAATCATAAAAAAATTTCGCGCTTGAAAAGCGCGGGTCAAAATCTAGTTAGGAATTAAAATCATGTTCTGTACATATTCTTATTAAAAAGTTTCTTGAAGACGAGAAGTATCAGTAGAGTTTAGCTCTTAAGGGTTGATCATCCTTGAGCATTTTTCTTTGATATATGGCTGGTAACGTTCAAATGCATCATTAAAGAAGAGTCAACATTCTCAAACAAAAGATTGATGGGGTTCTGAGAATTTTGGAAAGAACTCTTAAGATTAGCATCAATTGAAAAAAAAAATGAAAGATTTTTGTGCGCTGTCGATGAGGAATAATGTAAAGCTTTGGTAATTTCACAAAGAATAACCCACTAAATTTTAACATTGTACTATGAAATATAGTAAAGCACAATGAAATGAACGTTCAATATCACAACTTCAAACAAATTTAGCTTTGAAAAGTTGAAAAACAGAGAAATCAAAGAAACAACGATATCAAAATAATATATAGTAAAATTCTAATAAGAAACATATCTTTTTAAAAAATATCTAATGTTTCATAGTGTTTTGTAAATAAATAAAATATCTATGTATTTTATTGGTATAGTTAAACTAAAATAAATATTTATTAACTTTTTTAATAATTATATTTAAAACTGCTATCTAGACAAATTTATAATTTCTAAAACAAATTTTAAAAACGTAAATAAAATTTTGAATTTTAGTGGTACGTATTTTTAGTTAAAAGTAAACTTAAATTTTAAAATAAATTTGTGTAGTAATATTTCATTTATTCGCCCACCCGTAGGGCGGGTTTACCTTAATATATATATAGTAAAATGTAAAATGATGTTTGTAATATTTTCTTTACATCTAAATTTATATTAAAATGTAAAATGAAGCTAAATAGCATCAACAGTCTCACTGTCTTCATCACCAAACAATATACTCGCCAATCCATTTGAGATTCACCTAATTTATTCGTTAAGGTTTGTTGGTTTCTGAGTTGAATCAAATCAGCTAGGACTTCGTATTCTTGATATTGTCTAAGATTATGGAGTTTCTCACCAAAAGTTCTTGTTCGGTCAACATCTATTGTTCAACTATCAATCTATTATCTCAATTTTTTATTTATTTATCCTAGATTCAGAGTTACGTGTTTATTATTTGGGTTTAGATTAAAGAGTATAGAACTTGAAATAAGAATTTACTTTTGGGTCTAAACTTTAGAATTTTTATTTGGATTCAGGTTTAAGATTCAACGTATGGAGATAATAATTGATTTTAACATTCATTCAGATAATTAACTTATCACCACCGTAAATAACCAAAAACAACTGAAAATCACTGAATAATTGGTATTACTATATCAGAATCCGTAGGCTGCATTGTGACATTTTCTAGTTTATCTTTATTTGAGTTAGCAGAATCTATACTATTATTTAAGAAGTGATTTTGCTGAGGTATCATACTTTCCATAAGTTTAGGTAATTTTGTTTATTTATCATATTTATAATATTATATATAATTTATTTATAAATAAAACAAATTTATATGAATATATCATATTTTAGAAAATAGGATAATTCTTGTTAATTATGTTGTTATCTAGAAATATATTTTAAGAATTATCTTATTATCTAGAAATATATATTAATATATATAACTTAAAAAGATAATTCTTATGTATTATGTTCCTATGTTGAAAATATATTTTTTTATTATAAAACTTAAAATTAAGATATAAAATTATATTGTTAATAATTAAATTTATATTTTAGAAAATAAGATAATTCTTATGTATTATTATCTTGAAAATATATTTTGCTATTATAAAATTTAAAATTAACATGTTAAAAATCTATACTATTATTTAAGAAGTGAATTTTATGTTTGCTGATTTGTCATATTTTCCATGATTTTAAGTAATTTTGATAATTTATCATAATTTCTATAATTTTATATATAATTTATTATATATTTAAAACAAATTTATATTAATAGTATCACATTCTTGGAAAATAAGATATTTCTTATGTATTAAGTTGTTGTCTTGAAAATATATTTTTATATTATAAATTTAAAATTAAGATATAAAAAGTTGTAATTATTCTTATGTATTATGTTGTTATCTTAAAAAAATACTTTTATATTATATAATTTAATTAAATATTATCTTGAAAAATTATCTATTATCAATTAAATATAAATTATCACTTAAGAAAAATTATTTAAGAAGTTAATTTGCTGATTTATTAAGTTCTCCATATTTTAGGTAATTTTAATTATATGTCATAATTTTTATAATCTTATATAATTCAAAAATATCATATTATACTTTTAGAAAATAAATAACTTATGCATTATATTGTTATCTTTAAAATATGTTTTCTATTATAAAATTAAAATTAAGATATAAAAATAACAATTAAATATAAATTAAGTAAAAAATTGTTTAAATATTATGATTAAATATAAATCAAGTAAAATAATTATATAAATATATTCTTTTAAATATTTCTGAAGTTTGAGTTTTGTCATTAATAGTTATTTGATGTTTTATTTTTACTTTTTGAAAACATAAATAATAACTTATTATGCTGATTTTTATATTATAAGAGAATTATGCATGCAAGTGCAGACAAAATACCTAGTATGAGATATATATAAGCAGTGATATTTTTATCATAGTTAATCAAATACGAATACATAAACAAACTCGGGCAATATCTCAAAATAATATATTTTTTTGTAAATAATATCACAATATAATATTGACACCTATTTTGATGTATGGCTACATTTTTGAATATTAGATCTTTATTCAATTTAGCAAGCTACTTTTACTTTATAATAAATTAAGTTCCAAAAAAGTTATGTAGCCTCATATAGATTGGTAAAGATAATATGTGTAATACATGAAATAACACGCCTATGAGATATCCTAACATTGAACAATATACAACAATTTTGAAAGTTGTGATTTTGTTGTAAAATCGATCTTTTAATTTTAAAATTTTTAAAACTTAGACTAATATGAAAAAAATGAATAGGTTTGTGAAATAAGTCGAAAAACGTAAAGAGAATGAGAAAAGAAAATATTATTTTTAATATTTTATGATTTGATCTAACTCAAAATTATATCTATACATACACCAATTAAATATTGCTTATAATATCTTAATTAAATCATAATAGGCTGTCCTAATCTAAATCTAGCCCCTTGACTTACCTTATCTGTTAAGAGTAATTTAGTTCAACTAAGAGGATTAATTATCTAAATCATCGTTGCAAATTATGAACATGTTTGTGTATATTGCCTAAAATCCAAACTCTATAACTTTAGCATCTCAAATATCTAGATTAAGTGATAGATTTGGTATCCGGTCAATCATTGCGTGACCGAATCAACTTAAGACGTATACATTTTTTGCATTATGCAACAACAAATAATAACAAAGCAATAACAGCGAGCTAGACCGAGCACTTAATGCAGTTTGAATAAAACCACTACAAGTAGTACTTAGCTATGACTTAGCGCTTCCGAAGCAAGGCATGTTCAATAAAATGGTGTGTCTGTCACATACCGCATAGCTCAAAGTCTCAAACACAATTAAGAAAAAAGACGTTTCCATATTAAAAGCAAACGCACCCTTCAAAACTAACAAATATCTCTGAAATCAAACACATATATCCTCTTATTGATTTTGAACTTTATTTTTATTTTTCAAGAACCAAAGAAAAAAAAAAGAAAATGTTACTCTCGCCACAGAAGTATGTGTTGGTGTGCTTCGTTACTTTTACTGCACTTTCTGTTTCAACAAGGCAACAATCACGCACCGATTGCCAGTCCAGTACTTGTGGAACCGTCAGAATAGAGTACTCATTTGGGACCTCTTCTGATTGTGTCGACGAAGGAAAGTTTCTCCTAAGACGATGTGATGAGAAGGAGCAAAAGTTGTTTTTGAACAGCTCAAACTTAGAAGTTCTCCGCATCTCCTTCCACGACGACGGAGAAGTAGAGGTACTTATGGACGTTCTTTCCCTATGCAACCACAAGGAAAGAGATGGTGGACACAAGGTTCTTAAAAACCTCCGCAACGTCACAAGGTTTCCTGTGATACTTGATTGGACATTGAAAGAAGGAACATGCCAACAGGCTGAAAACACAAGCTTTTGTGGAGAGAATAGCAAATGCACCAATACTACAACCAATTTTTGGTATACTTGCACATGTCTAGAGGGGTTTGAAGGGAATCCCTTCGTGCAACATGGCTGCAAAGGTAAAACTTTCTTTTTACCTATACTCTTTCCTAAAATGTTTTCATCTACTCATCACTAATTGTTACTGTTTCTTTGTTTTGTTTTACTAGACATGGATGAGTTCCAACCAAATGTTAAATCTTGCGGGGAGGATCAAACCTGCAAGAAAGTTGATGGAGTCTTCCGGTGCAAGAAAAAAAAGGAATCGGTAACAATCATTCTTCGTAAGTTTTTTTCTTTAATTATGGCGTTGCTTTTCTATTTATATATACATAGTTAAAAACTCTCTAAAATTAATAATGTTAGAATTGTGATATTTTATTACTTTATAGAGTTATTAATTAACAGAAAATTTATTTTTAAAAATAATTTTAAAATGTATTTCTTATAAAATAATTAAAAAATCTATTTGAATACGTTCCTGATGGTACCCTTCATGACACCTTATTCGGTTCATCCTCTCTAGCTTGGCCTGACCGGTTGATAATTGCGGCAGAAATCGCTGAGACTTTATCATACCTCCACTTCTTTGCTCCTGTCCCAATAGTCCACGGCGACATCAAACCTGAAAATATTCTTTTAACTCAGACCTTGACTGTGAAGCTATGTGATTTTTGGGCCTCTAGGCAGGTTCCCAACAACACAGGCCAGCTCACGACCCTTGTTCAGGGTACGTGGGTTACCTCGATCCGGAGTATCTCCGAAAAAAGTGACGTTTATAGTTTTGGTGTTGTCTTGCTAGAAATGGTTTCGGGCCAAAAGGCATTGACCTTTAACCCATCACACGGGGAGAGGGTTTTGGTCAATCATATAGACGCCGCGTTCAAAGAAAATCGCCTAAGTGAGGTGATGGATCAGAGGGTGGTGACTGCTGATAATCAGGCAGTGATCCACCAAGTAGCTCTTCTAGGGATGAGCTGCACCAAAATGTGTGGAGTTGAACGGCCAGACATGAGGAAAGTGGCTGAAGATCTTCGAGGTTTACAAGCTTCAAGGCAAGTTGTGCAACATGAGGCGGGTCCATCTGCGCTTTCGAAATCGAGGAGATCGAGTAGATATTTTGTCTTTGTTTGATTATTATTATTATTATCATATTTTGTTTTCTTGTATTTTAATTCTCTGGATTCTTTTTAGTTGTTTATGATGCTTGAACTATTATGTTGCAATAAAAGTGGTTATTTGATAAGAATAGAACGTGAATTTAATGGAACACTTACGTTTAGTCAGAGACAAGTAGACAAAAAAAAAAGGTCACTAAGTTACTGCTCATCTTTATTGCTTGTGTAACAAAAAATGAGGGAGAGTTTACTGCTTTTAAAGCCAACAAAAACGAGGGAGAGTTTACTGCTCATCTTTATTGCTTGTGTAACAAGTTGTCAAACCATGAGCTGAATTTTGATATATACCATCCGAGATTGGCAAAATCTTCAATGCTGGAGCAATAAATTCTAGTGCCATTAAAAAAAAAGGACTAAAGAAGTGGCAAAACGTCAAATCAAGGTTAGAGAAAGAGAGAGAGAAAGTGATCTTTGTTATATGTTCGTTTTATTAATTTATAACTAGGTAATTGATCCGCACCTTGTGCGGGCATGAAAAACTATTGTAATATCGGTTGAGTTAGATTTTGAAGGAAACGGATTTTCAATAGTGAAGTCATTGATCTCCAAGTATTGCAGCATGATCTTCTAAGTTTTTTTAGAAACATGTATGAGTCTGAATTTTTTTTCAGAGTGTTGTGAACAGAGTTGGTATCGTCTCAAGGGTTGTTGTTGATCGGAACCGGCTTTATGGTCTAAAGATAGGGAAGTGACTTCTTGGTTCTATGAACTACTGTTTATGGTTTTAGCTTAGTTTCTGAGTTTTTCACGAGATGTTGCGATTACAAGCAGTGATTTTGCAAAGAAACCTATAAAATCTACCCATTAAATCTTGAATAAATTTGTATTTTTGTTTCAATTTTTTTAATCTCACTAAATTTGTATTTTTGTTTCAATTTTTTCATTCTCATTTTTATCGTTTACAATTATGATTGTATCATAAGTTCTTTTGAGTTTTTTACTTACCAAGGTGCATATTATTAATAAAGCTGCTATTTAGATTTGATGATGGTTGGATGTTGTAGTCTTTGTCATCTAGGAGGTAGTCATCTTAGCACTCTTAGTGTTCTAAGGTACTTGTTTCCTTGTACTTCAAGCAATTGCAGTTTGAAAGATCATCATGGTATGCGTCACTTTGCTATTACTTGTTTACATGAAGGTTACCTGGCAGGTGTGATTTGCATGGAAGAAGAAGCAAAGGATGCTTCTTCCACTATCTATGTAAAGAAACACCAAACCTCATATGAGAAGCTCGCCGTTATATTATTACTAAGTGAAATTGTGTTGTATAAATTATGTAATTTTATATTTTCTATTTATTTTGAAGTTTATGTTTTTAAACAAAAAAAATTAAAAACAGTGGCAGATTAAAAGAAAATATGAGAAAAATCTAAATCTAAATATAATCCATAAGTAATATAAAATAAGAAGTAGAATTCTCAATTAAAAAAAATCCAAGCAAAAACCTGCACAAAATTATTTAATTTTGTAAGCAATCTTACGATATCACCTTCTCCATGATGAAACTAAATGTAGCAATGTGGAGTAGATCATCTATTTACTATATGTTTTCAAACTGTTTCACTAAGAGCGAATTTAGTATTCTTGCACTTACGATAGGGACATAACATTTTACCCGTTTCATGTGTGAGATACGTGTTTCCGAGCTGCTACATGAATATTTCTACCCTGTTGAGGAGCTCATTTGTCTCCCTTCCCTCAGAATATTTATGTGCATACATCCAACTCCGAAGCTCATAAATATCTCGTGACATGATTTTACTCTAACTTGTTTCGTTTTTTTTGGTGTATCTAAAAATGAGAGATGAGACCATATTTATAGGAAAATTTCGACATGGAATATTACCACAAATTTACTACCAGATCATTTTACTACGAATTAGCTACTTCTTGACGTAATTGAGAAGTAAATTAGATGCTACATGTTTAGTCGTAAAATTGTCGTCGGTAATGATTTATTTACGACCACATTTTTATTTTGTCGTAAAACAAGCGTTACTCTACCTTCTATTTACGACTAAAAATTGTGGTCCCAACTTTACGTTCTCTTTACAACGATTAGAGTTTTGGTTTTTATCTAGTCGTTAAGTAAAAGTAAAGTTACGACTACAATTTTGTCGTCGCAACTTGTGGTTGTTAAGCCCACGTTTTCTTGTAGTGGTGGATGTAAACAACATTGAACCTCCTCAACTGATCCGAGAAAGTCCAGGCTTCAGCTTCTTATTCACCCGTGAAGATTCATCATAAAATGTCATAGATGGTGCCCAGAGGAGTTTGTATTCATCTCGTTGTTGGTTTGGATGTCCTTGCAAACTTGCAGTGAAGGAACTATAGTTTGATTTTGAACCCAAATCAACATAAATCTTGTTCTAATACCGTCTAGGTCACACAACTCAGTACAATGAAAACATTATAGAAAACTATGTCCCTTTAGTTAATCTCATATACTTTATGTCCCATTAGGTTAAATATTTTTAAAATGGCAATACTACCCTTAATTTCATTAAAAAAATTCAAAATTACAATTACAAAAACAATAGTTAAATGTTAAATATAACAAATAATTAAAGTGTTGAACAAAAAACAATTAAAGTAATTAAACTAAGTGTTGTCAAAAAAAAATTAAAGCGTTGGCAAAAACAAAATTCAAGTAATTAAAATAAAAAAATCTGAATATTTTAATTACTTGAATTTTGTTTTTGCCAACGCTTTAATTTTTTTTTTTGACAACACTTAGTTTTTAATGTTTCTATATGGAAACTCAATATTTCCAAATATTTTCTTGTCATATTTTCAGAACTGATTGTACTTATTCGTAAAATATGTATTCTACTATATGTAAAATAAAATAATAAGGATTGAAGTCAAATTCTACAGATTTTAGATTTATACTAATGTGTAAATTCTGATTTTTACTGATTTTATATTTATAAATATTGTGTAGATTTTGATTTCTACTAATTTTAGATAGATATGTTAAGAGGAAAAATGTGTATTTCAAATTATTTTGGATTAGTATTATTTACATTGAACATGTACTCTAAACATAGTAGATTCAATGAAAAAATGAATTTCATTTTCTATTTTGTAGAATATCAATTCTATTTTACTTTATGTAGAACATCATTTAAAATTATCATTTAGAAATTTTTAAACTTTAAAAAATACCACTAAAATGATATAAGTATTTTATCAATATTTACTATTTTCAATTTTTTTTGTTTGTAAAACTATTTCTTTAATTTATTTTCAAAAATACTAAAATACATTATACGTAAAAATGATACAAAATAGAAATTAGTCTAATAGGACATAGTTACCATTTTTTTAACAGTAAAACAATTTTACCATTATAAAAAGGATCTAAACATGGATGATCTTTAGAGTATATAACATGGTTGAAAACATCACAAGATAGAGTATTGCATATATTACATCATCACCTTATTTGTAAAAAGCTCAACTGGTTACATAATATCAACTCCTAAAGGATGCTAATTATTGGTAAATATCTCACAATCCTTATTTTCCACCTTGAAACCATGGATTTTTTTCTATGGTTTTAATACCTTTCCCATGATATCTTTAAGAGGCTCCAACTCTGCTTCATCAATCAACTGATACTCATGCATGTTGCGAAACAACAAACTCACGTCATCGTTTTTGACATCAACTATCATAACATTCAACATGTTCAAGTTCAAGGGAAGATTCATCATCTCACAGATATGAAGACAACAAGATGTTTGAAGCAAGTGTTGTGAACTTCTTCCTTGAGATTCACAATCTCTTGAAAATGACAATGATAAATGTGTGCATAAACCCTAAACAACCTCTTCAAAATCACCTTCACCAAGTCCTTAAAGTTTGGTGGGAATGATACTTCTGAATAAGGATGAGAAATAAGCTTGTTACAAATTAAAAGCAATTTGATTAGATACGTTTAAAAACTATAAACAAGCTTGGCGGCTACCAGGTTTTTGGGAAAAAATGGTTTCATTACCGATCTGAGTTTCAATCCAGTTCATGAGATAGTTAACGTATTCAGGAGCAGAAACCGCTATTGGCTTCTTTATAGCAATCCCATCTGCCCATATATACTCATACCTGCAACCAAAAAGAGAAGAAGAAAGTGACCAAAGTTTCATGTATCAACTTGATGGATAAGAGTCATGGATGAAGGAGTGAGTTACAAGGGTCCAGCGTTCATGATAGGATAAGTGATGGTTGTGCAGAACTCTTTAAGAGTAGAGTACAAAACGTTTACTTGGTTTTAGAATTCTATGGCTAAAACATACAACGTTCAAAAAAATCAGATAATAAATAAATCAAGTTGGGATTATATGAATAACTTGTGTCTTAACTGTGAATGCTAACCACTCGTTAATGTCTTCACCATAGGGTAGTTGCGTGACTTCTCTGAGGTTGCCACTCACCAAGTTTTACTTGATGTAATGCTAGGACAAGAAGCAACAATACCACCATGGATTCAACATGCTAAGTCAATGACTGACCTAATGATCGCTTGAGCCACCCCTTGTTCAGTCTCTGTACCAAATATACATCTAAGTGAGGTCTTGTCTGAATAATTTGGGTAACTTTGCAGAAAGAAAAGGCAAACCAACAAATCAAAGAGGATAGAAACCTGTCCAAAATGGAGGGACACCACAAAGAAGGATATAGATGATGATTCCATGGCTAAGACATTGATCTCAAGTCCATAGTTTCGTCGCAGGACTTCTGGTGCCATGTAATAAGGACTTCCAACAATCTCATTAAACTTCTCACCTGTTACAGTTTATCAAAAGTAAAGGTAAAGCAAAGATACACAAAATCTTCCCATTGATACTCATCAGTACCTGGTTTAAAGAAGACAGATAATCCAAAATCAATAGCCTTAAGAACTGATGTATCTTTCTTATTTGCAAAAAGAAAGTTCTCTGGTTTAAGATCCATATGCATCACTCCCTGCTTATGGCATACCTGCAAAGGACACACAAAGGGTGTGAGTGTGAGCAGAACACACAGACACTGTAAACATAGTAAGCAACCTGAACAACTTCAACAATAGTCTTCAAAGCTGCAGCAGCAGCCCTCTCAGTGTATTGTCATCTAGCGAAAATCCGATCAAACGATTCCCCTCCTTCACATAACTTCATAACTATATGAACCGCATCATCTAGTAGTTTTGAGGGTGTATCCGAGACATGAATCTCAACCAACAAACAAACAAACAAAAACATGTCTCAACATACACTCTTCATGTCAATAAACCACAAGATCTGTAGATAGGTTATACTGAGCTAGACCAAAACATACCCACTCAGATCGAGCAGTTCAAGGTTTGTGTAAATTGAGGAAATGGCGGCTACAGACGCATCAGTGATATCGATTCCAAGAATTAGCGAGAGCATTCTCAACTACCTGTACGATAAGGAAACTGACATCAATCTTAAGAAACAACTGTTGTCTCAATGAAACACTGAACTAAGAGTCCTAGAGAAAGAAAATGTGATTTTTACAACTAAAACCAAGACTGGAAACTAAGAGATTTTAGATAAACCTGAAATTCGCAGCAGTAAGAGCAAGTTTAATACCTAGATTCATGAACAGTGACGATCCAAATCTTAGTTTGTCAACAATACGATTTCGAACTACCAAGACGGATCTAAACTATAACAGAAAAACTATCAGGTATCTTCTCGATTCTACGGGAAAAGTAAAATCCAAAAAAATTAACGGATCCTAGGCTTCTTAGAACTGCGACAAAGAATCGAATCGAGAAGAGAAGACTCACAACATAGCGGAATCTGAGTGACAAAAGATTCGGATTGATTTCACAAACCGGCTTGCTCGAGCTTCAATGGAATCCGAGAGAACTGAAGAGAGAAGGAGATGATTCTTAGCCATGGAATCCTAGAGAATCGAAGAGAGAAGGGATGATTCCTAGCTATGGAATCCATGGTTGTCGAAGAGAGAAAAAGATGATAGAGAGACGGCACAGAACAAAAGAGACTTTAGGTTAGGGTATTTTTTCAAAAAAAAAAAAAATCATGGAAAAAAAGCAACCAATGAAATTAAAAGATTTCCGTGAGAAGCTTTGTATGAGCGACACGTGTCAAGACGTCACTAAAAGATTTCCGTGAGAAGCTTAAAAGATTTCCGTGAGAAGCTTTGTATGAGCGACACGTGTCAAGAAGTCACTAAAGTGACTTCTCTTTTAATATATAGGGGGATTGGTCGTAGTTGCTAATTCTGGATAAAAATAACTTAAGTCAAGTAAATAGACTGATCACAATGGTTCGTGACATATGTCCCCATACTGAGCTTTGCATGTGCAATATGGGCATAAACTATAATTAGTTACTAGCACATTCCTTCATTTTCAAGCTGATAATATCATATCATCAGATGCATGTGAAGTATACTTTGAGATCAAACATTCATGTGATTTGTGATGGAGTTGGATATAAGAAGCAAGATCAGTTTCAATAAATTGCTTAGTGACATCAAAGAGACCTCCATTTCTTTTCTTAATGTTAAGCTCTACATGACAAGATAGTACATAATTGTCGAAAGGACCAAATATGAACATTCTTATGATGGTTTGATAAATCAATTATGTTGCAGACTCAAAAGACCATATGAAAGACATCGAGATATAACTCATGTAAGCACAGTCTTGGAATCAAGAGCAACACAAAACCACAATGACAAGACATTTAAAAACAGCTTAAGAAACACAAAACCACAATGATAATAATAACATAAACATCACATTCTTTTTTTTTCTTTCTTCATTGCATCAATGTGAGCTTAGCTTCAAACACAAACCCACGACACAACCCATCTCCATAACCAGAGACACCATCAACCCATCTCCACCCTCCCCAAAGATCCCACATTGCAAGCTTCCCCATCCTTTTAGCAGAGAAGTAAACCCTATCACCACCTCCAAAAACCTTAAACTTACTCGATTCTTGAAACCCTCTATACATATCAAGAGGCATTCTCCCCGCTTCTTCCCACTCCAAGCTCTCTAAATCAAGCCTAAGTATCAGAATCGTCGAACAAGGCGGGTTCAAAGAGAACGTTTACTTTAACCCACCAATCATCAACAACTTAGAATCACCATCCCCACGCAGTAAACGGGGTCGTTTTGTCAAAAAAAGATGGAAACTGTTTACATAACTAATACGACTTCTTAGAGCATCAGCATCAAGGGTTTATACCCAAGTTCACACACTTCCCCAAATAAAAAAAATATTATAGTAATGCACATTGATGAACTCCAGCTTGCGAAGGTTCATTCTGCTGAACCGGTTTATGTCTGTTTTTGCGGGCTCCACGCCACGTGGCGACTCGCTATTGATCGTTTTTCTATTTTTTTTTATTTAAAAAAAAAAGTCAAACGAAAAAAGAAAAAAATTAAAATATTATAATCATGAACCCCTTGTGGGGTTCATTGATGCTGCTGCTCTTAGTCTTTTCTCGGTCCTATACCTATACGTTGTTCAAGTACTCTAATCTATACTGCTTATACTTTTTTATGTTATAATAACATTTATTTGTTGTTAAAACACACACAGATTTCTTCGAAAAATGCACATGCATTTTATTTACCGTAGTAAAAATCTGCATAGTAATCCATAACTTCAATGTGAAAACAAAAGCGAAAAGTAAATAGATCTACGCAAAACAATAAAAATATCATCAACTCCTCTTTAACTAGAATGCTGAAAACTATTCAAAATATAAATCACCATCTTAAATTAGATACCAAGTTCTAAAAAAACTTTGAACGCTTGATCTCGTGTTCAATATAATCGTCATATATTTTAGATAATCTATTTTCATAATATATTATGGTGTATAATGTGTGTTTGATTATATTGAGGAAAAATACACATATGTTCTTATCCACACATGGCAAACAAAGGGAAGGGGAACCACAAGATGATGAAAGGAGAAGAATGATAGTATCAATCTGGTTATGTTCGAACCGAACTAGAAGCCCTTTTGCTAGTTAAGGGCATTTACTAAAGATCTCTCGTTGGTCCCGACATCGACTAGACTGGCTTCTTCACACTTTCCACTTTCTTTCATATTTTTGTTCTTACACATTTATTCCTACGCGTTACCCAAAAGGTTCCCCAAATAACAGTTGTCAATAGTGAAATATTCTCCTGATGTTATGTCCTTTTCAGTGAAAAAAATATAGAACATACACCTTTTTACTCAAGACTGTTTCACAGTTTTCAAAAAGTTTTAATTTCTATGAATTATGTATTTTGTTGGTCAAAGTCTGTGACAAACAGTTGAACTAGTTTCAAAAAGTTATAATAAATATACACGTGAATTAAAACAGTAAGAATATTACTCTGTCCACTTCAATTATTTATCATTTTACATATGGATTAAAAAAATTTAATTTTACATTTTTATAAAAAACATAATATCTATATAACTAATCACATTTAAAGCAATAAAAATATATAATACTAGATAAAGAATATATTATGTATTGAAATTATAAAAAGCTATTTCTTTTTAAACAAAAATTTTAGTCTACAACGACAACTAAATTAAAACGGAGAAAATATATTATTTAATATTATTTGCAAGATATTATAGGCTTCCAATATAATTTATATTTGCTCTAAATTTAATATTATTTGCAAGATATTTTATCTTAAAAATAAATTTATTTATTTCAACTACTATTAGTTAAATATGTAAAATTAAAAAACATATATATTTTGGTCATTTACTTATTTGTGTAAAAACGGTCAAAACAAAACAGAAAACACATACTCCCTCTGTTTCATTATAAATGTTATTCTAGAGTTGTGCACACAGATTAAGGAAACAGTTAATTTTATATATTTCATGTATAAAAACATAGTTACATATACATCTAACCACATTTAAACCAATAGAAAAATAAGTTACAAAATAAAAATAATAAATCTTGTACTGAAAACTAAGAACGACACTTATTTTATAACAAAACAAAATTTCTACAACAACACTTATTATAAAACGGAAGAAATATTATAAAATTATCATTGTTAACAAAAAAAATATCATTGCTGGTAAATAGTGAGTAATACAAAAATTAAACACAAGTATTAGAGAACAATTTTAGAATTGGCTTGTAATACAAGTATAATTCCATCAGTTTTTAAATATCAGATATTTTAGGTAAAACCCAAATAATAAAGTTACATTTTATTTTATAAATATCATCAAAACTAATTTATAAACTATTCAAACTATACGATAGTTATAAATATGTGAAGGTTTACACAGTTTTGATAAAATTAAAAATTACTTCATATTTTTATATACATTGAAATATCAAAAAAAAAGTTTAACATCTTACAACAATTCAGAACAAAGGGAACTGAATTTAAGAATTGGCTTGTAACACATTTATTTGATTAACTAGATTTTTCGCTTTCCAATTGTGTCATCGTGAATGACGATGACAAACACACTTTCTGTTGCCAGCACTTAGAGCACTTCCAGTTCCTCCTATGGAGGTTTTAGCTTTGAAATTCTCAAAATACACACACACATATATATATATATATATATTTATTTATTTATTTATATATTATTATTTAATTATGAAGTTTTTAATTTAAAAAATATTGAATTAAAAAATTTTGTACATAGAATTATTAGATTGAGTTTTTTGTAAAATTAAAAAAGTCACAATTGAATATTAGAACCTCTTATTGAAAACACCTTTAATGATAATTTTTTGGGCTTATAATAGAATTCTCATATTACATATTAGTGTATATTAGTATATGTATATATAATAATTATTATTTAAATAAGTATGCTAAAATTCTGGAAATACAATCAAAAATACATTAAATGAGATTTTATTAGTTAAATTTCTACAAAATTTTAGTATAGTCTTATATGCATATAAAATTATATAATTTGAGAATTCCATGATAAAAAAATTATCATTGGACTTGCTTTAAGATTGTTCTTAGAGCACTTGCACCAAAAGATGTAGATTGAACATTTTACTATTATTTAAAAAAAAAACAAGTAAAATAGAAAAAAGGAAGTTTCTGACTTTTTATATTTTTTTCCATTTGTCGTCAGTAGTTTGTTAAGTTTTGCCAAATAAAATATTTATTTATTAATTTTTAAGAACTTTAGGAGAGTTTTAACATTGAGAATGTACTTAGAATATCTTCAGCAATTTCCATTCATTTGTTTTTAAAAAGATTTTATATTCCAACAACTCTTTATCTCTTTATTTTTAAAGAAGAAAAAATAGTCACTGTTGATCTCTTTAAAATACTATTTACTTTTTATTTTAATTTTTACAATTTCCTGATAAATTTGTATATATCATATTTTAGTATTTATTGTTATAATTTCTTAAAACTATTTATGTTAAAAATAAATTAATACCATTTTATACGATTTTTAGTTATATTTTATTATTATTAATAATTTTTTAAAATATTTTATTTTAATATCAATCAAAGTATGTTTGTTGATATTTAAATTTTTAAAAATGTAATATAGGAAAATGTAAAGAAAATATATAAAAAAATAACCGTTAGAGAACCACCCTTTTATCTCTTTATTTTAAGTGGCTCGCTTTTTTAAGAAGAAATTCTTTGTTATAAATGTTCTTAAGAATCTCCAACAATGACACTAAATTTGGTGTTAAAATTACACTAAATTTGATGTTTTGGTATTAAACATTTTTATCATCTTTAACAAGGACACCAAATTTTACACAATAATTATATATTATTTATATTTTCAGTTTAATAACTTTTACATTTTAATCATTTGTAATTGATAAATAATTTATTTATCACACTTATCTATTATGTTTGTTACAGTTTTGTAGTTTTGTGTTTATAAAATTTATCTACATTTATATTTTTGGTTTACCAATATTATATCTTTATGTATTTATTTTATATAAATATTAGTTATATTCAAACTACAAACTATTAAAAATGAAAAGTACATGAAAAATAATATATTTTTAATGAAATTTGTATTACTTAGTAATACAAGTTTAACTATTATAAAATAAATTTGTTATGATAATGTTTGATAAATTTAATATTATTACATAAAATTTAATTTAGTTACTACTAAATCTAGCTTATAGTGTTAATTTCTATAATTTATAAAATATTAATTAAAATTTTATAAATTTTAAAGTAAAAATTATAAATTCTATGATATTTTTTTTTCTAATTTGAAGTAAATGATAATACTCATTTAGCTTTTATTAATAGAAAATACAAAAAAACTTAATTATTTAAAATTATTTAATAATACTTTATATTCGGTTTGGTTAAAAATTTGAACTAATTAAAAATATTTATTAAATTATATTATTAAATAAAAAATAATAAAATATGTATATAAATATTTGGTGTAATGAATAGTGTTACACTATTGACTTTACACAAAATTTGATGACAAGATGTCCAATTTGATATTTTGTTAGAGATGAATTTACACCAAATTTAATGTTTTAGTGTTATTATTGGAGATGACCTTAGACCATCTCTAATAATGTTTCATTTTTTATTTTGTTTCATCTTTTGAAATATTTTTTTCTCTGTAATAATACTTTATTTCTTGTTTTAAAATGAATCAGTGAATAATATTGCTGTAAATTTGAAGATATATCAACTTTTAAAATTGTAAATTAGTACTTTATTTTTACTTATTCTTTTTCTTTATCAAAATAAATTTATATATGTTATTATTATTCAATTAATATCAAAATTTGACTATTATATTCAAACAATCAGATGTTTATACTAAAGAGCATAAACATGTTTATTTTTTACAAAAATTGATTAATCTACATAATTATTTTGTAGTTATTCAATTTTAAAGTAAAATATAGAGTAGTATAAAGTGATGCTTAGTAATCAAAATGAAATCATATGTAACGGTAATCATATCAGGTAGTTCATGAGTGTTTTTTTGAAGTATGAAGATGAACAAGAAAGTGTAAAAATCATGAAGATAAACGCTAAGCCAACATAAATAAATAATTCATAATCACTTGCAGATAAAGGAAGATAGAATTGTAGCATAATTCTTGGTTTCGAGTTACTATCGACACCATAGTAAATGTGAAAGGGAATTGGAGTTCGCTGTCATATAATAAAATACGAAACAGTAAATTAAGCAGTAGAAAGTAGCTGAGAGAAGCAGGCCTGAGCCAGCTACACTGGACTACATAACACAACACAGAGCTTTTACGTATAAAAGTGTCAGCTTTCTTCAATTTTCTTTTAATCATCACCCTCCTTTTGTCTCCCCTAAATCTTTTTTTTCTTCTCTACATAAAATCCTAGTACAAGTATTTATCTTCTACAACCTGTAAAAGAAATAAAAATAACAGAGTAACTGTACAATAAACATCTTTATAAAGAAAATATATACAACACGCGAGGTTTGTAAAGATCTCACACGGCAAAGATTTTCTTTTACAAGTATGATGTTGATATTGACTCCACTACTGATTTGACTCTATCCACGTATCTCTTAATTTAACTCGTTTTTAAACTATTTCATAAAAATATCGGGTGGTGAGGGTAGAAGTCTCGAACATTTGAGAACTGACATGCCCCTCAGCGCATTGCCAAATTGCCATTAAAATGATCAGACTTTTCAAAAAGAAAAAGAAAATTCTGTTTCGTCATGTGAGCACGCCGACGCCATACAATCAAGTGCCAGATGTATCAACCCCACCCTTTGATACTACATGTATGTACTCGTATTTATTATATTAGTGGAAAGCAAAAAAATAGTACTCCATTTTTTATCACTTTGACTCCAATTTTTTTTTTTACTTTTACATGTAATCATAAAACAGAAATGGCGTCAATCCCTACATTTTTTTACTAACGTATATATAAATGGTTTCAGTCGTTTTTAATGCTTTTGTAAAAAAATCGAAAATCTCTGACGTAATATTTTATTTTTATTTAAAATTGAATAAAAATTCAAAACAAAATAACTTTTAAATTTTTATTGAATTTTATTATAAAATATAATATTGAGTAGATGCCTGAGTTATCAATTATAAACTTTATTATTATTTCTGATTTATTTGTGTTGGTAAAAAATTTGATTTGTTTTTTTTTTTATGGAAAAAACAGTTTTTCTGTCTACGTTATATACTTCTTTTGTAAAGATATTATCATTTTGATAGTTTCATATAAATTAAGAAAATAGTAAAATATATTTATGTTTTGATAATTACATTATTTTAAAAAAATATTTGAAATGAACTAAAACTATTTATACATACAAAAATATTTGTAACTAATATTAAACTTAAATATATAAACATACATTTGGAACTTAAAATAACATTTTATGTGATAAAAGTGTTAAAATATATATTTTTTATGAAACAGAAGTAATATATGTTTTATAGTATAAAATTGTAACATTAAAATATTAATACATCCGTACCATTAAAAGAGCTTTGGTAAGAGTGGCAACGACGGCTGATTCTCATTTGGATTCTCTTCTTTGGCATTGTTTCTTTTTCCCCATAATACTAACACTATAGTACTATTTATTTTCTAGTATTAGTTAATTAATTGCACCCACTTCCTTTACATTTTATAAGGAGCGCGAATGAATTCTTATCAGAGTTGTAGTATTATCAGCTCTTTTTAATGCGCCATTGATATTACTGTATTCCTTTATATCAATTGTTATAGAAGTTTTACTAGAGTGAAGCATTTTCAATGTATGACAGAAAATATCTTCACTTTCTTGCAAAGTTATTTGCATGTTACAGTTACATTCGCTATTTATCTGAACTCATACCAATCCGTAAGCTCTTACAATCTCCCACTCAAATCATATGAATCACATTGCACTGGATGCTAATAATTTATCAAGAATTATTGGTTCCTGTTAGAAGCACTTTAAAAACATTAGTACAAGAAAATCATATTAAAGTAAAACAAAAAAACTATCAAACGAGTTTTTATTTAGGTTTAAAACAAAATCAACTAGTAATTTAAATAACGATTCTCACATAAATTTTTTTTTCAAAAAAACAGCGATTTTCAAAACAATTTCGTAAATAACGAAATTACAGCAATATCAAAGAATTACTCCACCATTCTGTGGTTCCATCAGTAAAAGCTTTTGACTCGCTTTGACCTAAAAGATACCATAATCAATGCTAATACACTTTAAAGCATTTAATCCAGCATTAACCTACCTAAATAGTAATTTACGAGACTTTATTACTGTAGTAAACACAACAGCTATGCAACCAAGTGGCCATCTATTTAACCACTCTCCCCATGCACATCATTCCATATCTTCATCAACTCTCAACACTTCTCCTCTTTCACTTATCTCTCTATCTGCTTCCACTACTTGCCTAAAATGTCTCCTGAAGCTTGCGTTCTGTTCTTTAACTCTCTTAACCTGGTCACCTTCGAGACCTTTGCTTGTCTATCTCTTTTCATAGCCACGGTTGCTATCTTTCTCTCCCCAGGTGGACTCGCATGGGCCTGGACCAGGTCTTCCAAGACCACCAGTGTTTCGATTCCTGGTCCATCTGGTTCTCTTTCCATCTTCTCCGGTTCCAACCCTCACCGCGTTCTCGCCGCGCTTGCCAAACGCTTCAAGGCCTCTCCTCTGATGGCGTTCTCCGTTGGGTTTTCTCGTTTTGTCATCTCAAGTGAACCGGAGACGGCTAAAGAGATTCTGAACAGCTCTGCTTTCGCTGACCGCCCGGTTAAGGAGTCGGCTTACGAGCTTCTCTTCCACCGTGCCATGGGGTTCGCGCCGTATGGTGAGTACTGGAGGAATCTTAGGAGAATCTCTTCAACGCATCTTTTCAGCCCGAGGAGGATAGCGAGTTTCGAAGGTGTTAGGGTTGGGATCGGTATGAAGATGGTGAAGAAGATTAAGAACGTAGCTGAGGGTGGTGAAGTTGAAGTGAAGAAAGTGATTCACTTCGGTTCGTTGAATAATGTAATGACTACTGTTTTTGGTGAGAGCTACGATTTTGATGAAGTTAATGGGGATGGATGTTTTCTTGAGAGGCTGGTGAGTGAAGGTTATGAGTTGCTTGGGATATTTAACTGGAGTGATCACTTTGGTGTTCTTCGTTGGTTTGACTTCCAAGGAGTGAGGAAGAGGTGTAGAGCTTTGGTCTCCGAAGTCAACACTTTTGTCGGTGGAATAATAGAGAAGCACAAAATGAAGAGGAACAACAATCTCAATGGAGAGGAGAGTGACTTCGTTGATGTCTTGCTTGGCTTGCAAAAGGATGAAAAGTTGTCTGATTCCGACATGATTGCTGTTCTTTGGGTAAGCTCCTTTCCTTGTGGATAAAGTTTAATATATGAATATTGTTTTAAAAAAATATTTGTACTATCTTTGAATCCTTTTTTATTTAATTTTTTTTAGGAGATGATATTTAGAGGAACAGACACAGTTGCGATTCTAGTGGAATGGGTGCTTGCAAGAATGGTATTGCATCAAGACATCCAAGCAGAACTCTACAAAGAGATAGCTTCCGTTACAAGTAACAACACCAGGTCCTTGTCTGATTCCGACATCCCAAAGCTTCCGTACCTTCAAGCTGTAGTCAAAGAAACCCTGAGGGTTCACCCACCTGGCCCCCTTCTCTCGTGGGCCAGGCTCGCTATCCACGATGTCCACGTTGGTCCCAACCTTGTCCCTGCTGGAACGATTGCTATGGTCAACATGTGGTCCATCACACATGACGCCAAAATCTGGACCGACCCTGAAGAGTTTAGGCCTAAGAGGTTTATTGATGGTGAAGATGTGAGCATCATGGGTTCGGATCTTAGGTTGGCTCCATTCGGTTCGGGTCGTCGGGTTTGCCCGGGTAAAGCAATGGGTCTAGCCACTGTTCATCTCTGGGTTGCTCAAATGATTCAGAATTTCGAGTGGGTTAAGGGTTCGTGTGATGTTGACCTAACTGAGGTTCTCAAGCTGTCCATGGAGATGAAGAAGCCGTTGAAGTGCAAAGCTGTTCCGAGAAATGTTTGTTTTTAATGGATCCCGTTATCTAGTGTATCGGGTCGGGTACTTGTTTAATTAACTACTACGGGTAGTCTCTTTTAATAATTAATAATTAATAATTAATAATAATTATGGTTGGGGAGGGAGTTAGGGTTTTGGCACGTTGGTCGAACTTCTTTAGGGTTTTGGTGTCATGGTTTTTTACTTTGCTGTGTGTTTGCTTCATGTAACGTTATCGTATGGTATCCCGTCCCTTTGTTTTCGTGGCTTTTCAATCATATCTATAAAATTGATTAGCTAAGTATTTAAGGCATACGAAATATCGTACTATTTCTAGCAAAAAAGTCTCGTACTATATATTAATCGCTGATGCCATCTTCCCCATATGTAACACCACAATACTGTAGTTGATTACGACGTTGGAATATTAGTTTATTCAACTAACATAATTATTGAAATTGGATATTATAATGTAGAATCAAAGTAAGTGGTTTTTTTCTTTTTTTGTCTAAAAGTAACGAGTGAGTTACGTTGCTTAAATTTCCTTATCAAAAGGAACAAAAACATTGTTCTCAAGAGCCAAACCTCTCATCTCATTTATCTAAAAGAAATTGTGATATCACAAAGCAGTCCATGAAGCTCGTTTGAATCCTCATCGGAGTTAATTAATCAGCTTAATCTGAGAGAACATAGAGTTCTCAGATTCGACTAAAATTTTTGATTTTTATTTTTTATTTTTTTGAAACCGAAGTTGAGCTGAATGAGCTGTTAGCCATGTAGGTACATATTTAAGAGCAGTATGAAATTTGAAATAGAAGATCTGTCTGTTATGAAACTTATTTAATAAGTAAACAAAAAAGAATAAAGTGATGTCATTTTTCTTTCTCTGGTCTTCTGCGCAGTACTGTGTAGTGTTAGGTATTGAGCCAAATTTATCATGAGAACATTAAACTATTCAAGAGTCATATCAAAAGTTGAGTTTTGCTAGAATGGAAACCGAGTAATGAATGATGATATGATCATTGATGATTATCACTTGTTCATGTGTTAGCATGTTTTATTTTTTTATTTTTTTATGTGTTAGCATGTTGATCAAGATGATCCACATGTCTACCATATGAGTGAATAATTGGATATTAGGTTATCTTAACGTAACAATAATATGACTTTTAGATAGTTGAGCGATTTTCTCTTCTTACACACATGCTGATCCATCATTACGACATGATCAAATTAGAAAAATGGGAAGAGACAATACACCATATATCTAATGTACAGTTGTGAATTCATTGATTTGGTTTATAAAGCATTTCCAGCAATATAAGTAGTCTATTTAACTACTACAAAGTAAAAACAAAGTACTCTAGCTTATAATATATCTTTTTTACTCGCTTCTATTTGTTTTAATATGGTTTGTTTACATTTAAGTGGTTAATTATGTAGCTAAAATGGCAAATTACACTGTTTAAACAGATCCTTAGATATATTATTATGTATTGGTTTTGCTTTTGACATGTTTGTTCTATCTTTTTTTTTTGAGAAAGAGCTTATATTTGTTCTATCTTGATGTGAGCTTAATATATGTATCATTAACTTGAGCTGAAACTACTTTTGAAACGAAATTAATATTACATATTATAATTTTGAATTCAGAGAAAACTTCTTAATAATTAAAAATATTGGATGTATATACAATTAAATGGGTACGTAGCTAAATATGTGATAGGCATTACTATACCGAAATATGTTTATAAATAACCAAATAATATAATTTTGTTATAATTGTGTAGTGGTACTCAAAATATAAATTTGTCATTTTCATATAGAAAACAACATGTAAATATGTAATAGAGAAATATAAAATAACTACTCTAAATTGTGAGAAAATGATGCTATTCATCTCAACATTGAATATATATTTTATTTTATTTGCAGACTACATATATTAACAGCTGAATTAGACGTTAGATGCTGAATTAGACGTTAGATGTTAGGTCTCAGTACCACCTAATCCCTCAACGTTGTTTTTTGTTCCTGTGAATTGTCACATTATCAACCACATATTCAAAGGTGCACAAAGTAAATTTAAAATGTGCTAAAATGACGTAAACAAAACAGTGAGAGAGAAAATATAACAATCATAAATTCGCGATATTCTTCTCCTTCGTTTTTTTTCGAAGAATATTGTTTATCCGATAGGAACTCAACACCATTCAAAGTGTACACTAAAATTAATACTATCAACATAATGTTTAATGTATAAATGGATTAGATAGAATTTATGACTCATCTGTATTAATATATATACTACAAGATCGTATCCTCGACGTTCCTCTTTTTTGTTTATGAATCTTCCAACGTTGATTAACTATTCATTAGTGTGAATTTAACAACTCTTGTGTACTCTCCTCCTAATTAATATATACTCGAAGAATAAGAGCATATATGGGGAAATCCATCAGGAAAATAGGATCATGCTTTCGCTATATTTTTTTTGACCAAATCAATGCTTTGCCATATTGCTGTACGTATCTCGTTTTCTTACACCTTTATATATATATATCTATATATATATAATACTATTATGTACACACCTATTATGTTAATATAGCATAGTTTGTTTGCTTTTACGAGATCAATTCGTTTTACGTTTTGTCACATTTAAACAAGTTTATATAAAGGTTATTCACCCAATTGTATTTTTTTATTGTTTCATGACGACAATATTTGAATTAAATTATTGTAGAGAATTAGATAAAGGATTTGGAATGTTAGGAGCGGTGGCGTATCCTTATTATTTTTCAAATCATTGAAAGATTGAAGTTTAAGACTATTTGTTAGCCTTCAACTAGGATTAAAATACAAGAGGGTAGCTAGGTTTTAATGCATTTGGAAAAGAAAAAGTCATATACCTTTTATAATAACCAAAGTGACTTACTGTAATCAGTTAACATGTCTGGAAATGATTGTTTCAGTTGTGTTGTATTCTTTTTGGTAAAAACAGTTGTGTTGTATTCCATTCGATATAGTAGCGTTCTCTATGAGTCACCGACTGTTCATACACGAAAGAACGTTATATTTGGAAAAATTAGTGAGTATATATATAACTTTACATAACCGGTCGTATTTTATACTTCTATGATTGACGGATCATATGGGACATGAAAACGTTTTGGGTATCTCCGGTTATTATCGACTTACTTCATCGTGCGTTTAATTTAATAAAAGTATTTATTATTAAGAAAAAACGATTTAGGACATGAAATTTGAATAAAAGAGCTAACCTCTCGGAAACAAAATACAAAATAGAGATATATATACAAAACATTCTGGGAGTTGGATATCCAATAAATAAAACTTTCTCTTTAGTCCAAAATGAGTGCAAGTAGCTTTCCTTCCCATCTCTTTCTTTCTTTAAATTTTTCATATTCCCTTGCATGATCGATTCTTGGTCTCCTTCATTGTAAATATGACTGATTCACCACAAACGGATTGGAACCAAAGAATCGATGTTAGTAGACACATTATCGAAAGTGACAATTATGTGGTTGCAAAATATATGCTTTGTTAATAGATTCACTAAGTTATTAAATCCTTGGATGCTCTCTTAACCAAAAATTAGGTAATATTTGGAAAATATTGTCTTGGTTGCAACTTTGTGAGTGAATATAATACTTTCAAACATTAAGATTTCGAATGGTAAAAACAACTCAAATAGTGCAGATCATATTGATCAAATGGAACAAGTGTAGATCAAACATATCATATAAAAAAAATACATATTAAACGGTTCATGCAAGCAGATTACACAACTATTATAGTTATTAATAATAAAATAAAATATATCAAAACACATAATACAGAAATATAACACATAAACAACAACAAATCTTACATTAAAACTATGTTACTTCAATTTAAAAATCAAAATATGAAAACATTAAAATTTAATGACACATATATATATATATATATATATTTTCTTCCACTAGTATACATATTTCAATTATATCACTAATTTGCATAATACATATCATCATTAAACACACATTATATAAGTATAATACTTTAAGTAAATGTTAAATTATATGACAAAAATAGAAAGAAAAATATGTGGACAATGCTAGTTTTATATAGTTAAAGTTGTAAGTAAAATTTAATGAAAATATTGTAAGCATAAAAACAAATAGATATATTTTAAGATTAAAATGTTTGCAGATATCTCATAAAAACACTGAATATATAGCGGGTGAGATCTCCCGCTTTTTCTGTAAAAATACAAAAAAATATGAATCTCCTAGTATCTGCAATGCAAAACTAGAACTGCAATGCAATGGTCGAATGGTTAATGCCATGCGAATGAACTGAATGTGTGGATGATCTACACTTCTTCCGCTACATCATTCGAAACTTAAATATATAATTTGAAATATCAGTATAGTATACCATTATGTTCCATGTAAAAAGCTTTCATGTATACATTTTTATGTTCCAAGATATTGTAAACTCTTCTTCAATCTAGCCACCACACCTATATATATATATATGGGCATCTGATAAAGAAATTTATATAAACTCACAGTCCCTGAAAACTAAATTCAATTTATCCAGCTTTCCAAATCGTCATCTAGCATTATCATGATATAAAATTGGAAAAAAAAATTGGGCTTTGAATCATTAGTCCTCTTGGATTATATCTGCCTCTCATTGGGCAAGAGAATTGGATCCTTTGTCTTAGCTAGGGTTGTAGACATTAATTAGTCATTAGTTATTTTATGATTTGGTTGATCTTCAAGTGGCTTAATTAATGATTACGATTCCTTTCGTAAAGCCGATTTTAGATGCTTTTGTTAAAGCCAAATATTCACTTGCAACTTATAACAATCGCGAGTTAACATTTTTAAATTACATTAAAGTCCAAAAAGGCTATGTATTTTCTGCGCCACTCATTACTCAATAGCACTCGCAGGAACTAAAAAAATCTATACAGTATATATGTATATATACATCTGTCTGCCACACAAGTATGGCCG